TCCTGCTCTCTCACTATGTAGCTGGTGGGCATAATGAGTGCCCTGGTCAAGCCTCTTTACTTAGGTCTGATCTATACACAAAAGTGTCATGGATTTGCCTGAAGTGGTGATTTAACGAAACTGGTGCAACTCTATGTGTAGATTGTATTTGAACAGGGAAAACTACAAAGATAAAGCCAGGCTTAAGCATGTTAAAGTGTCCAAACAGTTTGAATTAGTGCAACTGTGTGTTTAGACAAGGCATTAAGAGTGCTAGAGTGCATAACTGCAGTGCTTCTGTGACCTTGTGCCAAGCCCCCAAGTACTGGGATGCCCACTGTGCTTGAATGATACGCAAATACCAAGCACTGCAGTAAGTTATGCTTTGGGCAGCACTCTCCTCCCTTCTTTCCTAGTCATATTATGGGTCTCGGTGGGATTCTGCAAAACGCCAGGACCCAGCCCTGAAAGCTGGAATAAAGTACAAAGGAGACCACACTTGGTCCATGGTCTTCCATTTGTGCAGATCTGAATGGACTGCATAGAAGATCCTTAAAGCCCTGAGCACAAAACCTGAATAAGCACTCAGATCGTCACCGAGCTTTAGACAAGTTAGCATTAGAGTGAGCAACTATCCACTTTGAAAATAAGAATCTGAATAATTTAATAGAAACCCCATGGGTTTATCTTCCACGAGTAGCTCTACTGCCTATGCTATCCTTGTTCTGTGGAGTGAGGCCTTCATCATTCATTAGGGCCAGCCCCATACTTTCCACAAGCATTCACTTAAAAAAAAAAATATATATATATATATATATATATATATATATATATATATACACACACACACACACACACACACATCCCACAACTACATGGAATTTCTTCAGATTATTTATGGCACTTTTCATAAGAGGATAGTGGATAAGCCTTGGTGTCCTGGCCTCATTCCCTCTCTTGATAAGACAGCTGTGGGGTCTTTTGTTAAGTCCATAATGGATGCGCAGTTGTTAGAATGTACCAGTGTCAGAGTAATGAGTTATCTCAGAGCTTTACAGATGTGTGTACCACTGTGAGAGTGTGATATAAAGGCCTTTGAAAACTGCTACAGAAAGGATACATAATAGCCATTTCTTACAATTACTTTCTACTATGCATTATCCTGTGCAGTTAAAGCAGTAGCTTATCTTCTGCTTTAATTTTAGTCTTTCATCTGAAACAGTCATTTACATTAGGATGACTGTTCTATGGAAAATACAGGGATGGACAGCTTGGTGGAAGGTCTGCTTTTGCGTATTTTATTTTGTAAATGGACATGCTAGACTTCAGGCTGTTTCCCCCCTAAATTTAGGTCACTAGTAATTGGACGTGTGTGGAAAATGCACAAGCTCAGCTCAGTGTTGCTTAATTTCTTAGTATGCTGATTTGGCAGTTGTCCTACAAAACAGAACAGTTGGATATTTAAAATGGTAATAAAAAGGACAGCGCCACTATAATTAACTTCCACCCCCATAAACCAAGCTCTTTTCGTACAACTATACCTTCCACCCGAGGCCACTTAAAATTAAACTCAGTGTCTCGTGACAGAAAGCATTTCCTTCACAGATTTTCAAAGTGGAATTTCTGAGTAACAAAAAAGGACACTACAGTTCAGTCACACTCAGTTTAACTATCATTATTCTACACAGCCAAAGTATGACACCCTCCTCCCCCCCCCCCAAAAAAAAAAAATCACACTCCACTTCTTAGAAGATCTAAAATCCTTATTAACAACTTCTCAAATTGGAACACAGCCTTGACAGACTCCAGCTGTAGTTGCTCCATGACAGATGAAGCAGGACCTGCCAGATCATCCTTACAGTACCTGGGACAAGTTAAAGTGTGCATGCTGAATTGGTCTATGCACCAACCCACAGGACCAGAGACCAAAAAAGGAGAGATCCAGGGCTCTCTATCCTGAGCATTTCCTGTTGGAGCAGCATTTCTACTAGCAACAGAATGGCCCCACCAGGGGCCCACCGTCTTGAATACTGTAAGATAGTAGAATTAAAATCCTTTCCCTTGCTCCTCCTGGAAAACTTCTGTCACAGCTCTTCATACCACCAGTTCCCTTAATTTCTTCTCTAACCTTCCTGAAGGACACTGCATGGCCCCACCAGGCTAACTGGCTAGCTCACGGGAATAGTGCCAAAGTTTATGCTGGAGCTTACTTTGCCATGTTCTGTTTACTTCATCACAGGTCCCATGTGCTTTGGGTGGTTTTGGCATAAATCTACATGGTGAGAGGAGGAAGAGACAACTGTCTCCCTCCATGGGCTTCTTCAACTGGTGACTCTGGAGGCTGGGCTGGCGGGCGTTCAAAAGGGCTATCTGGGCTGAGCAAAAAGCTTCTGTTCAAAACAGCCTAATAAAATTCTATTCATCTACTCATTTGAGGAAAGTAATTTTTGTTTTGGACAGGAAAGTAAAAGATCATTAGTCTTCACCAAGAGAATAGTCAAGCACATTTTGTGCTTGAGCATGTAATTTTTAATTATATTTCAAGGCTGACTTAAGATGCCTACCCCAAGATCTAAAATACAGTGGGACATACTGATTCCTTCTGCTCCAAAAGGCGCCCCTTCGACAACAAAAGGCCAAGAAGAATTGGTAACAGGCTGATTTTAGTATCACCAAAAGGAAACAGGTTTGCTCCATGACAGCCATATCAGTACACATGTATTTAAAGATCCTGACTAAAAAATATCATCCCACAATGTTTTGCAAAACAGAGGAGTTTAGTAAACCACAAACTTTAGAGTCTGTTATCTCTAAGCAATAACTATAAAAAGCAACCTATGTGACACGCCACCATAAAAGCTGAAAGTAAAGACAAACAGTACAAAGTGATACATGTACCCTGGTTATTTTCTAAGTCTTCGTTTTGTGACTGTAATAAGAAACAAGGTTAATACCAGAGATCATCTGTAATGGGAAACTACAAGTCTGAGATGACATAGCAAATGGGGCTGGCCAGTAAGGCACAAAAGCCTTCCTTTGCACATTGGTGTCTGACAGGTTTGCAGCAAACAAACTCAACCAATGGTTGAAATGGAAAAAAATGTGCAGTCTTACTGTTTATATAGAAGGATGTCTTTTTCCCCTTTTACTGAAAAGTGATGGACATCAGGAAGGTGTTTGAGTGATAAAAAGATTCTGACAAACATTCATTTACACACCAAGTTTTGTTTTGTAATGTGGTGAGTGAAATGAGCAGCTGATTTATACTCTGGCTAGATGCAGGCAGACACGGTCATATTTTTCTAGACAGCTTTGCCAATGCAATTTGATCATGACCTGCACTGCCCTTGTTATTACAGTCCTGGATCTCATTTGGGGCAGAGAGAGACTGCCAATTGTGGCAAGCGGTGTGTGGTGTGCTGGCAATTTTAATAAGAGAGACTTTAGGAATTAGGATGAGACTAAACTCATTTTCACTTATAGCCAAAAGGGATTTGAACCCAGAAGTACAAAGCCAGTGGCATTAACCTACTATACCACCTAGGGAGTTTAATACCTTGGCTTGTAATGTTTATACCTCTACTTAAGAGCTGGCACTCACATTTCTTCTACTACTGTTTTCAAACCTAATTCTCCTCCTGACCTGGGCAATAGAAACAATTGAGAAAGTGTTGCAAACAACAAGAGACCCAGGCAAAGCCTCTTAATTCAGTGGAAGTTAACATGAAAGGCAATCTAGGGACACATTTTATTTTATCTCTGTGAGAAACACAGTACGTTCCTTCTTACCAAACCTTCCTGTTAACTAAAGTACAGTTATGTCCCAAGGCTTGTATTCTCTAGATGAAGCTGTTAAGTGGCTTTCCAAAGTAAGTGGCTTCAAAGGGACTGTGCTTCAAATGCCATGACCCTTTTAAAGCCAGCTGGTTTGTAAACCTGGCACTTTCTCCTGTGCTCCCTACTCATGGGCCAGAGCAGTTTTTTGGCTCTCCCCCCACAATCATCCAAAACTGACCATCTGCAGATTTAGGTAAGTGGGATTGTGTCGTCTTGTAAAGTTAGTCTCTTTAAAGGGGACTTTCACTAATAATTGAAACTTATTGAAATGAAAGACTAATTTAATACAAAAATACCTCGATTTCTCATGAGATACAGATTTCTTATGAGAGGATGGTCTAGATAATACTTAGTCCTGCCATGAGTGAAGGGGACTAGATGACCTCTCGAGATCCCTTCTAGTGCTATGTTGGAATTCTGTTAAAAATCAGCAATTTTGTTTGAAAACTATGCAAATCACTAAATGCTGCTCCTAGAACTTTCCCTTCTGCCACTGTAACCCGGAGAATCTTATGCAGTTGCAAACTCCATAGCAGGTCTAATAGCTAAACAGCCTGAAGAGAACATGACCATTGTTCAGTTATTAGCAATGTGCTAGTTTAATAAAACCTCTCCACATTTTTAATCCTTTGCACTGGTGCCCAAGTTACAAATCTTGCCACAATTCAACATTTTAAAAACTGTACACATGAATCAGTTTCAATTATGCTGTCAATCCATTAATCCTCTAGGTTGACAAAAGTTGGCCAATCTATTATAATTTTAAACAACAAAGGAATAGGAAATATAAGAATAATATTCAGCGTAAGATTTAACATTCTTATAGCTTCATTTGCTGATAGCATAACTGTTTAGGCTTTTTTACATTTCCTAAATCTGATCCCATTTTAAGGAGCAAGAACAATTCAAGCAAATACAAATGTAAACAGAGTCATGTTACAGGCTGCAATAGTCAAGGACAAGAAGGCAATTGATTTGACAAATTTAAGGCCAGCTATTTATAGTTTGAAGTATACTGTACTTTTTCATGGCACTTAAAACACCAAAAGTTAGCAGTGAGAGACAAAATTAAATAGGAGTATACATATTTATACTGTATGCTATATATACAAATAACTTGTTTCTAAAATAGAATGTTTGTCAAGTTTTTCCTGCCCAGCTAAAATTGGCTCTGAAAGCCCATTTGTGTTTGGCTGCCATGCACACATCTTAAAGTAATGTCACTGTTTTACTCACTCCAGAGCAAACTGTGACTTGTTAAATCCAAAACAGACCACTCCTTAATTGGTTAAGTCACTAAGGATCATTAAATGCCCCAACGTTTTTTTTCTTAAATACAGCTAAATTCAATTATTTCTCAAGAGAACAGCAAACACTTTCGTTAACAATTAGCATGCTGTTCTATTCTACAGTAACAAAGCTCACTATTATACAAATCAGATTTTGGTCATGCAGCAATAGACCATCCTCACAATAATCTGTCTTGTATTTCAGTCAGTCTAGAAAAAAGAAGCACTGTTCAATGTTTCACTAACAGGTCATCCTTGCCACTCCATACTCCAAGCTGACAACAGCAGGCTCAGCTTTTGACAACTCCTCCATGTATTCACTGTAGCGATTGTCTGCTGTGTTGCTGCCCTCTATAGTCCGAATGGAGTCATTCATCGGTAACAGAGGCTGCTCCTTCTTAAAGCTTGGAGAAGTTTTAAGTGCTGGTGAAGCAGGATGGACAGACTGCAATGGTTCCTTAGTGAGGAGTTCTTCTGGTTGCCTGTTTCTTTGTTTCATTTTCTGAAATATAACAGGATCTATTAAAATTATTGTTCCTAGTACCCATCATTACCTGGGATAAAAATAAAAATTAAAAGCCAAGCTAATTAGACGACTTTCAACACACTTGTCCAAAGCCTCATCCTGACTGGTTGGTTTGGCCTTTTGAGCAGTATCATAACAGTATACCAACTCCCAGCTATGCAGAGTGGAATTTTCAAAGTCGCTAGAGATACCGATTGTGTAAAAATCCTGCTAAATGTATAACAAAAACTATAACAAACCAACCATTTCTCAACATTCAACCCAAGAATCTGGCCACATAAGGAAGCCAAAACACTCCCTTTCAAAGCAGAGTATAATAAATTAAAATGGGTCAAGATTCAGTTGCGAATTTCCATGCAACTGTGGATAATTACTTAAAAAAAACAATCAAGATGTTAGGACATATAAAATATTTGAGATTATGTCTTAGAATATCAAGATTTTAGATTAAATTACAGGCTTCAAAGAGGAGGTTTTCAGATTACTTAATCTGGATCTGTGACATTATGACAGGATTATCCTAACAATCCTTATATTAAAAAGCTTTGCTTCCCAAAGTATCATACATAGGAGGAGAGAAACTTCAATTTGGCATTCCAAGATTTTTGCTACAAATAGCAACACTGATTTGTTCCTTTGAAAACTTTGGATGGTTAATGACATTTTAATTTCAAGTTTTCAGCATCTTAATTGATCACTATAAAAAAGTTTAGTAAAATATAACTTAAGAATCAATCAACTCTAAATCCTGCTTCACAAGTTTGTACTAGAATAAGTGACAATACTTAGCTACAATAGACTTGCCAGATACCAATTTAAAGGGCTGCACAAAAAGCGCCTGGTGGTGGTCACACTATGGGCATGTTGTGGCCTGTGGTAGGCTGACCCATCTCCAGTTGGATCTATTCTAGTCCTTACAAATCCTAGCCATATTTTGAAGAGACATCTTTCCAGAGACATCCTCCCCCCCACCCCAACTCCCTGATCTTCAGGTTACTGTAATGGTGGAACTAAAGAAGAAAAGGACCAACAAAAGGCAGCAGTTGAGCATGAGTTAGATTACCCAGTTGGAAGATCAGGAGAGAGGAGGGAGGAAAGGCACCTGTGTCATATTAACAATGGCTCAGGTAATTAAAAGATTTCTGTCCTCCTTGGTAGATATTATAGAGAAAGGATGCACAATTGTAAGGATGGGTGATTAGTCACACAGTATATATCTATCTGGAGAGAATTTAACCAGTATTAAATGAACTGCTCTTCTGGTGTGAAGCTTTTCCTGCTAACAAAGGACAATGCATAGTACAACAGGACAAAATGATTTCAGTTTAAGAGCAAAATGTTTGGAGCCTACGTAATCTTGTATGACTACCCAATGCCAGACACACAACAAAATCAATGCAAACTAAACTTTACTTTAAAAAAGCTACACATAAGTGCTGTGTCATATAATAAGGCTATAAGTTTCATTGTTGTAAGACTATGAAAATGAACTTAGATCTCAGAGTAAGTTTATTTCTTATTTTACAATACTCACAGCTTCCAGTTCTTTAAAGTCTTTCTCCAGTTGTTTATTTTGTTCACTCATGGTCATGATGAGATTAAATACAGATTGCCTGGGGTGCATAGTTCGGTCAAACTGATGGTACATATTTCTCCAAAACCTGTGTGTACCAAAACATAAAACTGTTTTAACAAGCTAGTCTAACAATAGAAGTGAAGCAAATATAATGTACCTAATGAAACTTACTTAAAATTGAAGGACGCTGTGTTAGGCTCCAAGAGGACAAGTTTCTGAGAAAAATCTTGATTGTATAGAGGATTAAGATACTTCTTTTGTTCATCCAGAAGGAATGGCCAAAAGGAATAAGTTTTCTCTTTCAATCTTAAGGTAAGCAGAAATGAAAGTCAAGACACTGGGTGAAAAGTAGTAATACTAGCTCTCAGTCTTACAGTTCACCTCAGTCAAAACAACAAATCCAAACTAGACTGTTGCTTTTCACCTCCACAATTGCCCGAAATGCAGTCATGAATTTAGAATGAGACAGACTACCCAGTTCTTCTATCTGTCCATCTCATGAATTTATAAAACTCCCTTTCACCCGGGTGGCCAAGCACCAAATATTCTTGGGATAATGGAATTTCTGAAACAGTTCTCACGTCACCAACTACTTCGAGAACACTTAACTTATTATATACAATATAGGTAATAAATCTGAGTGATTATTTTAGCCACCACCATATTCTTTATGAGATTTATAGTAACAGGATGTATCATTACAGGGTGTAATCTTCCCCCCTTTTAAAAGAAGACTTAATATAAGGCTCCTTGGACCTCTCTCCAGGCCTTTTGTCATACATCTTGAGCTCAATAACACCTATACCTCAGTTTTAGCCATATCCCAGGAATAAACAAAAATACTAATTTTATTATTGGGTTTAGAGCTAAATAGTGCTTTAGGAAACAATGCTTTGCATAGTTGCAAGAAATGACTCTGAGGGGAAGAAAAACAAAAAACTTGGGCACTTCAGATTACTGGACAAAATAGTACTAAATGTACAAGGAGGAATAATTCTGAAATAGAAGGAGAATGGGCTCTGACTTAAGTTTTTACCCCTCATTAACTTAAATCGTTTTTGAAAAAAATGCTGGGGGTGGGAAGTCTAAAAATGCCTTGAGTTTTTTCCTTTATGAAATATGGGTATATGTTTTTTCCTTTCAAAATTAGAAAGAGGGTCTTTAGTATCAGACGTGTGAGAATCATTGCTGCTTTCCAATGCAGTTCAGCTATTCTTTCCCCATTATAGATCATGTCTAGTTGCTTTTATTGAGAGTCCCAGCTGAAGATTTATACAAGTTCTTAGTTTACTGGAGTAAATGAAGAACATTTGCAATAAGTCAGCTTACTTTAGTTCTTCTCGTTCTTTTTGGCAGTTTCCAAGGAAGTTTCCAAATTGGCATGAATGGACGTGTTCATGGATCTGAAGGAGAAAAGCTTCATTGTATTCAAAGGCTTGTGGAAACTGCTCTGTGAGATGCCACACACCTTCTAAAAACTGAGTGAACACTGGAGAGATTTCCTTTGGGTCACCATCCAATTGACCACATCTACAAAAAATTCCACAAAGACATCAGGGAAATCCAGAAATTGTTTTAAAATGTGAATAAGCTTTAAAAAACAAACAAAAAACACTGACAAAATCTTCTGCATTTATTTTGACTGGACAATCAGGAAATACATTCATTTCAATAAGGTACATATTTAAGACCTGTAGGGCAACTCCACCCCAGATAAGTCATGATGTGGAAGGACACTGCAGGACAAAACACCACGTTTCATGGACTTACCTGGCTAGAATAGCAGAGCCACAAAAGAGACAATTTTGTTTTCAATTTTTAATTTAACTAACAGGCTCAGTTTACGCAGCTCAAGAGTAAATGGCCTGGTTTTAGAGGAAAAATGGTGTCAAATTTGGCTTCTAAATCCATGTTGAGATAATACTTCCTTTTCATCCTGAGTTTTCAGCATCACATTATGGACATACAATTATATTTGTAGTGAATAATATACAACAGAAGGCTAGTTAAGTAGCTCTTTAACATCTGGTATTGTGATAGGCCTCAGTACTGCACATTCAGAATCTACCAACTTGAAATAATTGGTAGTCTCCCCATTGTCTTTGTCAGAGCAGATAGGGTATGCCTGCACTGCATCTAGGAGTGAGAATCCCAGTCCAGGTCCAGTGACTTCTGCAAGTGGGGCCTGTGCTAGTATGCTAAAAATAGCTATGTAGATGGTGCTCTGACATTGTGACTTGGGCTCTGAAGCCTGGGGGTAGGTGGGGGGCTTCAGAGCATGAGCTTCAGCCCAAGCCACAACGTCAAAGCACCACCTATGCAGCTATATTTAGTGTGCTAGCACAGGCCCCGCTAGCACAAGTCAGTGGACCTCGGTTGGGAGGCTCACTCCCAGATGCAGTGTAGCCATACCACAGGTTTACTATGTGAACTACCACAGCTAGCAGGACTTTGCTCCAAAACACCAAGAATAAAAAAAAGACCAAAAAGAATTGGGAATTTACAGAACCGATAATAAATTATTAAATGTATATGGAGCTTATCAACCGAACATCTGACAGTTAACAGCAATCATTTAAGTGGTATTTTCAAATTTATTAATGTATTTTTCAAGAAAAAAAAATACATTGTAACAAACTCATCAGCTTCCTTAGCCTACAGCACAACTCAGTTTCATATATTCTGAATGGCTGAAGAAAAGTGATAAATCAGTGCTGCAGTCTCTAAACACACACATGCAGCTCCAAGCCATCAAGCTCAATGAGTTAGATGCCCAATTACTGCAGGATTCACAGTTCTAGGGCAACAAAAGTGAGGCTCAGACACCACAGTGATGGACACCCATAGGAGCCTCACTGGCTAACTTTTATCGGTTTTCTCTATTGTCAGCCAATTCTTGGTAGCCCTGAAGTTTATATTTGCGATATGGAAACAATTATCCCATGGGCATTTGAATAAGCAGCAGGTAACAAAACACACAGCCTGTTGCAGAGCTGGTTTACTAAGTCACAGAATCCTAGCAACACTGCAGCAGTAGTTAATAAAAGTATTAGAGGTTCCATAAAATATTGATGCAGAATACTGAGTCCTGTTTAGTAGCATATTTACAACTCAATTGACTGCGTGATATACCTTTGCACTAACTGGCAAATCTGTAAAATTCTACTTTAGTTGAAAAATGTTGTCTACCTGTCAGAAAATTTGTGTCCAAAAGAGATCCAGTCCTTCTCTATCAAAACCTAGAAGAGAGAGGCATCAAATGTAAAGAAATTATGAACTTCTAGATCTGTGCATTTATCCTGATAGATCATCTACCTATATGTTTTGTTTTGATTTAAATTTATTCACTGTGTGTTACTGCACTTTACACCACTTTGCATTTCTTTTGGTTTCTTGGCATAGTCTTCAATACCTTCAAGGACCCTCTCAAAGGACAGCTGAACTAATACATTTGTAACAACTCTGAAAACTTTGTTTACATTTAAAAAAAAAAAGTTTTATTGTTAATTGACTCAACTGTCTGCCTGATAATCATTATAATGGCTATGTTAAACCAACTGCACTTTTTAGAGTAAAAAAGAGCCTCATTAATTCACATAAATGACTGGGAAACAGATTGTTAGTAGCTGATGTTTGCAAATTAGTGAGTAGGTGAACAAAAACGCAAGATGAATGTATTACCATATGTAATTCATCAACAGTAGTTTTAATTTATAATACATAACAGTATCAGAGTACAATGTAATTTAGTACATTTGTAATAATAAAATCTTGGTAACGTTAGGAATGTAGGGACTGCCCCATCAGATCAGACTGGCATCCTGCCTGCTAGTGGCCAATACCAAATACTTCAGATAGGTTCAATACATAATTACTTTAAATACACACTTTGCTGCTCACTGACTGTTTTGATTAAGGGTATAGAGCTCTCCTTTAGAAATACATTAAACTATATGGAAAAGAACTGCAAGATTTCTGTGCATCAATCTAATCATTTTTGGTTTGGTTTTGTTTTTTTACAAAAGGCATTCGTTTATGCTGTTACACTGCATGCTTAAGACTCTTAGATTTAGCGTGTGAGAACAAAAAGAACCATCTAGTTATCCGAGTAGATGCTTACCATGAAGCCTCTGATTGTTCTATAATGCGCATCCAACAAGAGAGATCCAAGGGAACAAACTTGGGAAGTCCTGTCCCAGCCATCAGAGCAATGAACTAGCACAGTCGCATTTTCAACTGCTACTGCCTGTAAAGTGGAAAACAAAGTCTAGTAATGTGTGTTCCAAAAAGAGGTAAGTTCCTAGCATAGCCCATATTTAATGGCAGCACTTGAAACTCATGTGGCAATACACACAGAAATTATTGTGTGTGAGAAAATGTGCTGCAGTCAATTAAAGCTGGGATCTCCCCTTTGCAATGCTATAATGCTCCCCATAAAGATCACAAGATCCAGTTTCCTGCTTGCCCATTGAAGGGGCAAGAACTACTAAGGTGGCTTCTCATTTTATTTTCCACCTTCCACCACTTCCAAGAAGTTAAAGTACCCAGAAGCATCTACAGTCTCCATGGACTGCTAGGAAAAAGCCTGACTACACATCCCAGAAATCCAAAGCAAATAAGGACTACTTGGCTTTTTTTTTTTTTAAATCCTCAGTCTACTCCACCCCTCAAGAATATGGAAGCATGTAGAGCAAATAGCTTGGACTCAGGGATTGACTACACTACAAGTTATGTCAGTATAACTTATGTTGCTCACCCCCCCGAGTGATGTAAGTTACACCAACATAACTGCCAGTGTGGACAGTGCTATGTCAATGGGAAACCTTCTCCTGCTGCCATAACTACCACGTCTCAAGGAGGTGGTTTTATTATGCCAACAGGAGAGCTCTCTCCCATTGGCATAGACTGTCTTCACCAAAGGCGCTACAGCTGCACCCCTGTAACACTTCTAGAGTAGTCTAGCCCTCAGTCAAATAGGAATTTATGCCTCATTCATCTAATCATTTGCAGGTCACATTTAAGAGATGTGCCAGCATTCTAACCTCTAAATCGCCTCAAGCACTACTTCAGCTAGGAGAAAGTTCTGAGGCAAGAATTAGTGCTTCACAAAATACAAAGTATTTTCTACTTTTTATGAGCCTCATGTATATGTGATTGTGCCAGATTCACATGCACTGAGACATGTTTTTCCACAGAGCTCTATCAGCAGTATCCCACAGTATAAATATAGGTTTCCAACATGCCAAAAAAAGTACACACATAGTGAATTCATCCATAGATGAAGTCATGCATGTTAGATTTAGCAGATAAGAGACAAAACAGCATACGTAAAGAGTGCCTCAAGGTGACAAAGGTTGCAAGGCGTAAACACCTCAGAAAAGCACCAGGTACATTAAGAGCCCCAACACACGGACATCCCTACTTACAGGTTGATACCCCTCTTAAAACGTGACCTGCAAATATTTAGCTGCAAAGAGAGCGGTGTACATACAGATTTGTTCTAATGAACAAGGGCACTCAGTATACAACCACTTCAACCTACCCTTTCCCTGCCCACTAATTCAGGTCCCCTGACGTCACAATCAGCTATCTACTTCAGTGTCACCCTAACACAAGTTGTTCTGTGACAAAGTTATCACAGAACATCACTTGTAGTAGCCTATGAATGAGTCAGGGTTTTAATCAGGGTGGATAGAAATCAATTTTTTTTTTAATTAAAAAAATATCGGATTTTTTTTTATTTAAATCGATTTTTTTGATAAAATGCTTTTTGAGGAAAACACCTATCTAAAGATAGTTTTAATTAAGAAACATTATAGCTCAAAGATATCTCCTCATGGAATGGGGATTATAAATTCTATTTCTATAGTATGAGACAATATATTCACGTAAAAAGCAACAGAGGGTCCTGTGGCACCTTTAAGACTAACAGAAGTATTGGAGCATAAGCTTTCATGGGTGAATGCCCACTTCATGTAATGTTTAAGAAATGTTTTGTAAATGAATTTCAATAGTTCATGGATTAGGGGCCCAATCTTATGGGGTTCCAGGGGCTTCTGTATAGATTATTTAGGTTAATCTTTCTATCTACCCAATGGGACTCAGTGCTCAGTCTAGAAGATACCATCAGAGATGCTTAGTTTTGCAGTTCTCAAACTGTGGATTTGTGTCTCCAGAGATAACATGCTTGTTATCAGCAAAAATGTTTTTAAATAAATAATATAGAGAGGTGAAAAATAAAACATCAACCCTATTGTCCCTCTGCAAATCTGTGTATACAGAGTCAATCCCTTACCTCTCTCTAAAAGTGCAAAGTTTCAAAAAGTTCAATGAATAGAAGATTGTTGGGGGCGGAATAGATCTGGACAAGGAGAAGAAGTCTGGAGATAAATGTGAGAAAGGAGGAACAGGCAGTAGAAACAAAAGCGAAACTGTTTGAGCAGCATATTCCAGAAGTCTTGAGGTCTTTCTGAGTGTAGCCTTCATTGATTTGAGATCTACCATACCATTCTCTCACTAGAAGGAAAAACCTATAATGGCAGCAGGCCATAAGAGAAACCCACTTTGGGAATATTTTAATGAAGTTCCTCTACCTGTGGGTAAGACAGGCATGCGTGCAAAATGCAAACAGTGCAACAAAGAAATGCAAGGCCTGGTTGCCCGAATGAAATATCATGAGAAGTGTTCCCTCTCAGGAGGAAGCTGCATTGAAGATGATGAAAGGAACATGTCAGAACATGCAGGATCTTCAGGTTGGAAAACTTTTTTATTTAATACTTCTTTCTTAAGGACTGCCTGTCTTCCTTCTGGACTGTTCTTGAATTCTCATGTTTGAGCAAAAAATATAGTTGTTACTCTATGGTACTATCATTTTAGATGCAGTTGTGATAAAAAATAAATAGCTGAAATAGGCAGATCTTCCTTTTACAATTTCACCTTTAAAGTAGTACTGAGTGTCAGTAAATGCAATGAGTAATACTAAATGAGCAGTATGTAATAATAATTAAATAACTGCATTGACTTATTTTGTTTAGGAGAATCCATCCTCAACATACAGGATTCTGAAGACTATCCACCTTCAAGCTCATCATCATTTTCTATAGTTTCAGAGTTATCTGCCAATGATAGTGTTTCAGTCACATCATGTATGTCACATAACCACAGTATATCACCTGTAGCAAAAAGAAAAAAAAAATCTCCATCATCTAGAAACAACCATAGAGAAGTCTGTGATAAAAACCAGCAGATTAGAGGTAACTGATGAAAAAATTACCTGGTTTGTTTATGCAACAAACTCTCCTTTCCGTATGATTGAGAACCCACACTTCATTAACATGGTTCAGTCATTAAGACCAGGATACAGTCCACCCAACAGAGCAGATGTCGCAAGCAAATTGCTGGATAAAGTGTATGAAAGAGAAATTGAGCAGTGTGCAAAACGTCTAGAGGGTGAAATTGTTAACCTGAGTCTTGATGGGTGAAGCAATGTCCACAATGATCCTGTTGTATGTGCCTGTGTGACAACAGAGGAAGGGAATGTCTTCCTTATAGAAACAATTGATACATCAGGAAATGCACACACAGCAGAATACTTACAATACTTATCCAAGATAAGAAGAAATTTAGAAGAGAGTCCCAAGCTAATAACGTACGGTTGCAGTGTTCATCTGATGCACCTCCTAGCCAAAGACTTCAGTGTTCCAGAAAGAAAGGCTAATGTTGCTGAAATTGCAAAATACTTCCGTAACAATCACTTTGCACCAGCTGCTCTGAAAGAAGTGAAACAAGCTAACTCTCCCACAAGACGTGCGATGGAACTCAGTAGGGGGCTGTTTTGAGCACCATATCAAGAACTGACCTAATCTGATGACAGTTTGTGAACAAAATGTGAAAAAATAGATGGCACTGTCACAGCCCAAGTTCTCAACATTGGGCTTAAGAGAAATGTTGAACACATACTGAATACCCTGAAGCCTATTTCTGTAGCCTTGAACAAAATGCAGAGAAATAGCTGCTTTATTGCTGATGCTGTTGAAATTTGGAAGGAACTGAATGATCTTAAAAAAAGAAATATGCAATGACAGAGTTAACTTACAAGCATTAAAAAAAACGAATGGGACAAGCACTATCTCCAGCTTATTTTCTTGCAAATATTCTCAATACTTTGTACCAGGGTCAAACCTTAACTGCTGAAGAAGAGGAGTTGGCTATGACATGGACATCCAGCAATCATCCCTCCATAATGCCAACTATAATAAACTTCAGAGCTAAGGGTGAACCATTCAAGAAATACGTTTGCTGATGATGTTTTAAAGAAAGGCATACCAGTGAACTGGTGGAAGTCATTTAAGCACTTGGATTCAGAGACTGTTGAAGTGATAATCTCACTTTTAACAGCAGTAGCTTCTTCTGCCGGTGTAGAAAGAATATTTTCTTCCTTTGAACTAATTCATTCCAAATTGAGAAATCATTTGGGAACCGAAAAAGATGGAAAGCTTGTTTTTCTTTTCCAGATTATGAACAGACAGGAAAATGAAGGTGAAGACAACTGAGTTAGCTGCAGAAGCCAATATCAAGTTTCTCATGTTGACCTAGCTGATGTAGTCGATTTTTTTTTCAAATATTTCATTTAACTATTTTAGTTAAAAACAATTTTAACAAAAATAAACCAGATTTTAAAAAATTTGAATGTTTAACTAAATGCAAAAATTCATATGCTTGTTTTGTGAAAATATTATATGTTTGCTGTTGAAGAAAAAAATCCAGAATACATAACGTTGTTTTAGTTAAATAAAACAATTTAAATGTCTGTCTGGTGATGTTCTCCTCTTAATACAGCATGGCAAGAAAATCCACCAAATATTAATGATTAACCTGTTGAATTGGAGATATTTATGAAGTCATTGGGAGGTGAACTATCTGCTTCAATTACCTTTGGTAAATGAAATAACCAAACAATCATTCATTTTCTGATATAGCTATAAAACTAAATCTGAAAAGTTTTCAAAATAAATCACTTTAAAAAATGTATAGTGTGTACCTTCTAAAAATGAAACCTATATCTCTGAGTTGTGAAGAATATGTATTAAGGTTATAACAACCAACAAGAATGCACTTTTATGTAGAAATCCATGATTAAATCGAGTCTTCCTGACTAGTGATTTAAATCATGATTTAAATCAAATCCACCCTGATTTTAATTATTATATGATGTGGATTTGCAGAGATTTTATATCTCAAGAGATATAACAAAAATAGTTGTTTTAAAACTGCAAACCACGCCATGTAATAAAAAAAGTTGCTTACCCTATACCTATAGGTCAGCGCCAGTGCAGTTCTTTGATAGTTGTGTATCAGAGTATGTTGGGGGGGACTCTGAGTAGGAATTGGCTGATTTGATTCTGAAAAGACTTGAACTAAAAGGAAAGAAAGAAGTAAAGTTAGAGTTGTGGGACTGGTCCCCTGCTCACCCCTGCTATGTGGAACACTCAGAACATTTAGCTTCCTCCATCCCCATATTCATATATTTACAGGTCAGGTGATCTCTAAACTACGGCTACATAGCACAAAACTTGGGTAACCTAACATCCTTTCTTTACACTGGTAGGTGGGCAGCCTTCAAAGAAACCTAAAATATTAGGAGGCACATCTGTTCTCTCTAAATATACAGAAACATGTTCTGTTTACATGCTGATGTACTTGGTGTGTAGTTATTTCTAACATAATTAAGATGAATAATGAAGCAAAACATCAAGCACTGAGATTATAGCAGCAGCCATCCCCAGTTTACACCTGACAGAATGGTTCTGCCTGTCACCAATCACCATCCCTCCCCCAGAGAAAGAAGGAGCATATGAATTACTTTGGCTAAGAAGATAGCAGCATCCAATACAGCTTTGATATGACGCAGCCAGCCAGAGTTCTCCAAACCAGACAAGAAACTGTTGACAGACAAAGCTTTTGTACCACTGACTGAAATAGAAAGAAAAAAGGTGTTAGAACTTTCTATGGAGCTGTAGCTCTCTAGGTGGAGAAAAATAAAATAATTACAGGATAGGCTGATATTCCTCCGAGTTTAAAAATCTATTTGAATTATTCTCCTCTTTTGGTAAAAGTGTCAGATTCCTAATGTTTCAGAAATGCAAACATGAGTAATAAATAAAATCCTTCAGCTAATATAGATCTTGCAGGTATCTGATCACGAGTTACAGAAATGAAGAGATACAATAACGCCTCACTTCACGTTGTAGTTATGTTCCTGAAAAATGCGACTAAGTGAAATGATGTTAAGCGAATCCAATTTCCCCATAAGAATGAATGTAAATGGGGGGGTTAGGTTCCAGGGGAAATTTTTTTGCCATACTGTACAGTACTATAGTTGGGAGGTGCCCTCGCCTTACCCCACACAGGCATAGCCCACTGGCACTGGAGACAATGAGGCAGGCATGGAGGCTGAAGGTGCTGTAGGCTAGGAGAAGCACGTTGCACAGCAGCAGCTTCCCCTACTCTGCAAGCACCGGGGTGGGGGAGCTCAACCCTCGGCCCACCCACGCCTCCCGTTCCCCTAAGCCCCCACCCTTAACCCACCTCTTCTTCCCCCCCTCCGCCTTTACTCCGCACATCGGTCCTTGCTCCTCCCCCTCCCTCCTCTGCCTCCTGCCCACAGCAATCAGCTGGCTTGCAGCATTCAGGAGGCAGGAGGGAGGGGGGAGGAGTGAGGACACAGTGCGCAGGCTCCCCCTCCCTCCTGAACACCGCAAGCCAGCTGATTGCCACGGGCAGGAGGCAGGGGAGGGAGGGGGGGAGGAGCGAGGATGCAGCGCACAGTCTCCTCCCTCCCCCCCGCCCACGGCAATCAGCTGGTTTGTGGCATTCGGCGGCAGGGGGGAAGCCTGCGCACCAAGTCCTCGCTGCTCCCCCCTCCCTCCTGAACACCTCAAGCCAGCTGATTGCCACGGGCAGGAGGAGGAGGGGGAAGGCACTGATCCGCAGGGTCTGCCGGCGGGCGGGAGGCGCTGGGGTAGGGGGGCGTAAGGGAGCTGATAGGGGGGTTGCCAGCTGTGGACAAAGCATTATAGCGAAGCATTGCACAACTTTAAATGGAGCATGTTCTGTAATTGAGCAGGGACGTAAGATTGAAACAATGTTAAGCGGGGAGTTACTGTACTAAGTCACCACTGTGGTCAAAATGTAAGGACAACATTCAAGGAAATGGGATTAGTGGTGCCCAGTAGGAAGAGCTACCTGATTTAACAGAAGAAGGACAGCACAAGATAAACATGCCACAATCCCAACAGCCTATCAAAAATATTTACCTGGAGAGTAAATCACATAACCAGACAATGTTTACAGTTTTGAACAGTTATCAATGATTACTCCAGTAAATCACTTTCTTTAAATAATAAAGTAAATGTAGTGCTTGTATATGCAATGAACTGACAACCTTGGACAGTGAGGCCCTCTGTGTATCTGCAGAACAGATGTGCTGCTGCTTCCTTACTGTAAGTTCCTCCATATTGCCTCACTAATGTACCTCAGATGCGATACAGTGGGGGAGGGAAATTAAGGGGAAATCATTAATAGGAGAGGGTAGTTCACCCTCAATCATTCTAATTTCTCCCATCTTCTGAGAGTATCAATGTGGGTGCTTCATTGCTGTTGAACATGAAGGGCTATTTTTTTTTGTGATGTGCACAATTGTCAGTCCACAAAAAACAGGACTTAGGACATCAAGTAATCATAAGATGGTAATAGCTTTTTGCCTGTAATTCACTTTGAATCACACACATTACTCTGACTGCCAAGCAACCAGTCTGGTTGAACCAGGTCAAGTAAATCAAAATAGTTTTGCACTATTGATCCTATCTGATTGAGAGGTCTGGGCATCAAAATGAAACAGCTACCCACTTGGCTGCCACAAGATCACATGACCATGTGAGTTAAGAGAATTTTTAGTAGAGAGTGAGTGAAGATGTAGCAGTTAGTGCAAAATCAATCCTTTTAGAACTGGTCTCTGATTTCTGAGATTGAAAGTAAGTGTAGGTACATTTTATAGCACTCAGATGTCAGAGTATTTTATCTGTGAGTGCAATCAAGCATTTCAACATTTAAGTCCTATTGAAAAATCAGGGGTAATACATGCATGTTATAAACCCCAATGTTTTTTTCCTGTAAACCATCTGACATGCTAACAGAATTTGTCTACTTCCACCCAAGACACATTACATGTTAAACTATTTTCCTTAAGACAAATGACTGACAATTCATAAGAGCTCATTGCCCAGGAATTGTGATTAACACTAGCACCTGTCCCTCAAAACTCCATAACAGACACTAAATTCACTGCTGTCGGTAACAAAGTTTGGAAGTTCCTTGGTGTTTTGCATAGACTAACATTAAAAGACCAATGACATGAGAAGGTCACTTATCCTATTTTTAATCATATTCTGTTACACCAGAGTTAGAACAATAAAACATACCTTCTAAAAGTTTCTGCAGGCTGGATCTCATTACGTGAATGTTTTCAATTCCAACAAACTGGAATCTAATGTTAGCATAGTTGTCTTCATTTTCATAGCCTTTACCTGCTGCTCTGTTTGCCATTGCATTAAGCTTAGTGAAAGAAAATGCAAATATTTAAAATCAAGAGTTAAAAAGTAAATTGTAAAATCAAAATATAGATTAAGTAACCAAACATCTTCAGCAGGACACTCAGTTAAAAAACAAAACTAACACACACATACCATAAACATCCTTATGGATATCAGATTTGTGGCAGACTAATCTGAAAGGATTACTCTGACATGAGAATGACACAACATGTGGGGGGATGTGATATGTAGAAGACTATGAAAAGTAAAAACAATCAGATGTTGAGAGCTGACAAACATGTTGAGAGCTGACAAATCTGAATACTATATCCTAATTCTCCTTTTCCCAAATTATAATTGCTTATTTGAAAGATGCCACACAGTAATTAGCCTAAAAGAAAAAGTTAGTACTATGAAGTGTTAAGATACCTGAAGTGCGTAATTTGAAGGGGAAAAAAAGATCAGTGTATCCTAAGTAAAATGAAATCTACAAAATTATGAAGTACCAAAAACAGATCCAGCTGGGCTGGTTCCATTTCACTCAACAAGCCAGCACTTTTTTCTGGAGGCTTCCTCTTGTGCTCCAGAATCTAATGTTTTACAATTAAAATTTAATCTTCTAGTCCTTATGATCAAATAAATTTAAAAATAAGAACTTTTGAGTGGAACCAACAAATATCTGCCAAAGTCTGCAACTATGGCTCCAATAAATATCAGCTGCACCACTCTTCGCAGTGCAGTGCTAATGCTGAACTTTAATAGCTGATCAGATATGAACAATTAACTATTTTATTGCTGACTAAAACATGTAAAAAAGAGGAGATCTACAGTCTAATTTAAGTGACATCTCATTTTGATATCACATATGGATGGAACTTGGTTATAAGTAGAGTTTAGGAAATAATCACCACTTGATATGTCCACCCCTCAATCTGATCAGTGACCAAAGAAGTAAAGATGTAGTAATGTGAAATTGCTTATTAAAATGTGGTATCTAAACAAACTCTAGGGCTTGAACACTGTCCTGCAGATGCTCTCTCTAGGTTTTACAATTTCTGTCTCCTAATTTCTCCATGTTCCATTAAGGCATACTCACTATAATTCTACAGCCCTCCAGCTCTGCATCCAATGCTATAATAAAGTTCAGATCAATGTTACACATTTCATCCCAGTTAGATAGTTAAAAGAAGTTTTAAAACTCAAGAGTCTAAAGAAATGGGTGCCCAAATTTGACTCCTAAATCTGTTTATGCACCTAAATAAGTGGCCTAATTTTCACAAGCGTAGAACACCCAAACAGCTCTCATTGACTTCAATGGGAGCTACTGGGTGCTCAGCACCTTTTAAAATAACATTTATTGCTTGAATATGGAGTCTTGCACTGTAGGCACCCATTTTTAAAAATCTTCACCCAAGTTCATAGGTGAAATGTGTGTTTCTTCTTATTCAGGTAGCTAACCAAAATGAGTTAGCTAAAGTCATCTCACATAGACCATGATCATCATATGAAACAGTAATACTTTTGGTCATTGACCTGGGACAATTCTGAATCCAATTCTGAATCTAGAGCAGGGGTTCTCAACCTCTCTCTTTATGAGGCCCACCCAATAAAAACTCCACGGCCCACCTGTGCCACAACTGTTTTTCTGCATATCCAGCTGATTAAAAGCCAGTGTCGGCATTAGGGGGTAGCAAGCAGGGCAATTGCCTGGGCAAAATGCCACAGGGGGCCCCGCGAAGCTAAGATGCTCAGGCTTTGGCTTCAGCCCCGCATGGCAGGGCTTGGGCTTTCTGCCCTGGGCCCCAGCAACTCTAATGCCGGCCCTACTCTCTGGTTTATTTTGGCAGACCCCCTGAAACCTGCTCGCAGATCCTCTAGGGACCTCGGACCCCTGGTTGAGAACCGATGCTGTAGAGATTAAACAGCATGATACAGTACAATCCCAGCACCTGAGCCACATAGTGCCCCCAGTAGCACTTCCGTATGTATAAAGTGATCAAGTAAAGGAATTTAAGCTGAACCCTAAGCTGCAGCCCTGATAAAGGTACATACCTTAGGTCGAGTGTCCATGACATACATATAGTGATGAGCAGGGTTGGCTATACTGATCGCATGCAGCATATTTTCATCCTCCAGACACCTGGCACTGAAACCTGAGAGAGGTTGACTGCATCTGCAAATAGCAGCCTAGTACAGAAAAAGAATCAGGTAGCAACAGTATATAAGTAACACCTCTAAAAGAATGCTTAGACATATGCATTCTATAGAGCTGAAACACAGTTAATTCTTTTATTCTGCAGACTATGAAGTGAAAGATAAGCTGAAGAACTAAAGCAAAGATGCTCTAACTTTTTAAATCAAAGTACACTTTTATAGTAGACCTTAAATTTAAGTCCCTGACTGCTGTTCATGGACTTTAAAGATCATGTGGCACTTTGATAGTGTAAAGGTTTACCAAATTTTGGAAATATGCCCAAAGATCTTAGACATCTCAGTTTACTTCCTAAAAAAAATTAAGTTTATAATACACAGCCATTTTTCTTACAATAAATGCCTGTCTCGTGTCTCTACACTCTCAGGATGTTTTCTATTGAATTATTATCTCCTTAAATACAAGATAAATCTACATTTATAATGAAGACAGTCATTTTGTGCTCTTCTACACATCATTTAGGGTATGTCTACCCTACGAAAGTAGGTCGATTTTATAGAAGTCGATTTTTAGAAATTGATTTTATACAGTCGATTGCGTATGTCCACACTAAGCACATTAAGTCGGCGGAGTGCGTCCTCACTACCATGGCTAGCATCGACTTACAGAGTGGTGCACTGTGGATAGCTATCCCACAGTTCCTGCAGTCTCTGCCGACCACTGGAATTCTGGGTTGACCTCCCAATGCCTGATGGGGCAAAAACATTGTCGCGGGTGGTTTTGGGTACATGTCGTCAGTCGCCCCTCCCTCCGTGAAAGGAACAGCAGACAATCGTTTTGCGCCAGACACCAAGGCGATTAGAAGAGCACAGCAAGGCGCGCTGCACATCAGAGAGGCTTTGAAAACCAGTTTCAGGACTGGCCAGGCTTCGGTGTGACAGTTGTGTGTGTTTCTCCTTGATGCAAACCCACCCCCCTTTGTTGATTTTAATTCCCTGTAAGCCAACCACCCTCCCCCCTTCGAAATAAAGTAACTATTGTTTTGAAACCATGCATTCTTTCTTTATTAATTTAAAAAAAAAAAAAAAGAGAGAACAGACAAGGTAACCCTGATGGGGTGGGGGAGGAGGGAAGGACAAGGCCACATTGCTTATTGGAGCCACACTAAAAATCAAACTGTTTGAATGACAGCCTTCTGTTGCTTGGGTCATCCTCTGGAGTGGAGTGGCTGGGTGCCGGGAGCCTCCCCCCCTGCGTTCTTGGGCGTCTGGGTGAGGAGGGTATGGAACATGGGGAGGAGGGGAGGCGGTTATACAGTGGATGCAGCGGGGGTCTGTGCTCGTTGGCTTTCCTGCAGCTCCAACAGACGCTTCATCATGTCCGTTTGCTCCCCCAACAGACACTTCATCATGTCCATTTGCTCCCCATTAGCCTCAGCATCACGTCCTGCCTCTGCTCTTCGCATGCACTTAATTCTTTCCTGGCCTCTGCCACTGAATGCCTCCATGCATTAAGCAGTGCCCTATCAGTGCGGGAAGACTGCATGAGCTTAGAAAACACATCATCGCGAGTGCGTTTTTTTTGCCTTCTAATCTGCGATAACCTCAGGGACGGAGATGATAGGGGGAGCGTAGAAACATTCTATGCTCTACGATTCTGGGGGGACTGCATGGTCACCTGTGCTGCTGAGTTCGCCACGCTGACCAAACAGGAAATGAAATTCAAAAGTTCTCGGGGCTTTTCCTGTGTATCTGGCTAGTGCATGGGAGTTCAAAGTGAGGTCCAGAGCGGTCACAATGGAGCACTCTGGGATAGCTCCTGGAGACCAATACCATCGATTTGCATCCACACTACCCCAAATTCGACCCAGCAAAGTCAATTTTAGCATTACTTCCCTCGCTGGGGAGGAGTCCAGAAGTCGATTTTAAGAGCCCTTTAGGTTGACGGAATGGGGTTGGTTGTATGGACGCATTCATTTTTAAATCGACCTAACGCGGCTAAATTCAACCTAACCCCGTAGTGTAGACCAGGCCTTAAACTCCAGCCTGGCCAATATAAAAACTGTAGTTCTCTCCTTGACAGCAGTATTCTTTGAGGGGTGTAACACACATTCCCTGACAGGTAACACTCACAAATACATCCACTCTGTGGATACAACTGGCAGTTGCCTATGTGTAGCTTTACAATACTGGCCCTTCAGAAACTGCTGAACTCACAGGAGCAGTTGATATAACTGCTATTCCCTCAGATATATATCAGGATTGAGATGGATTGCTGCTGCTCCACAGAAACAACCCTCCTCTATGGAGTCCCACAGGGCTTGATTTTCTCTCTTCCTGCCCTCCTTCCCTCTTTAACAAATTATTTCCACGGTTCATAGCATTTTGGAACAAAAGGATTTTATTCTTGATATTCCAACAAGTACAAAAACACAGAGGATTTGATCATCAGCTGACCTTAAAGGCCCATTTTTGGAAGTTTTAAGAGATTCAATTGACTAGTGAAGAATTTTACAGTTGGCTAAGCAGGACCTACGCATCTCATTAGCCATCAGCAGTGTCAGAGATTAAGGAACTAGTATTGTTCTATGTACCTGGGTTATTATACTTACCTCCCTATCTTTCCTGGACCAGTGGCATCTGTTGAGAAATAGTTTTAGCCCACTTGCGCTGAAAGGAAATCAGACTGTACCTCTTTATCTCTGTGATAATATGATAACACTGGGAATCTTCCTTTGCTTCTAAATTTGGAGCTACCAACGATTACGGGCTTGCTTGCAGTTCTGGGAACATAAAGTTCTCTGGGATAGGAGTCACAAATCTGCAGGACAAAATAAATGTACAATGTACGTGTTTCATTTACAGACTATATCAAATCTGGTGCAAGATTTCTAACAGTGGACTGCTGTCCTTGCATGAATCATGACAGCTTTGTGGATAAGAAGGTGGTTATAGCAGGGCTAGATGACACAAAGGTAAAAACACTTGCACCAGGCATACAGAAATATGCCCATAATCCTTCCTAATGTACACACACCAGAAGTGATACATGGATTAAAGGGTATGAAAGAATGATGAAATGAAAATCATACGCTGTGGAAGGGGACTGAGACACCAGTGTACAGTCTATCAAAATGAGACCACAGAGAATAATTCCACAGTAGTAGTATAGAAAGATCACACCCCTTGCACCAATCCCCAACTTCACTAATGCAAGGGCAGGTTTCTCCCTCACTGAAAGAGTTGTTCTGCTGCTCCTTTACAACAGGATTTCCATGACTTACCCTCAAAATAGGGCTGTCATTGAGGGAAAATGAGAAAGAAACCATGCTATCAAAGACTATCCCAACACCAAAAAAACGAACAGGGAGGGAGAGTCTCACAAGTAGGCTCTCCCATCTTCTGCATCCTTTCACTTTAGGCAGCAAACTCATGACTCAAAGGGTATGTGGTTTGCAAGGCATTGCAGATATTGTGTTGGACTGGAATCAGAGGTTATAAAATCAAACAGGCATAAAAATAAACACGTTTCCTCCACTGCAACAGATTCTCTATTATCCTTTACCTCATAATCACGATTAGCATCGGACAACTGCCAGTTAGAGTTTGGCACTCCCATCCGCTTGTATTCTTCTGCTAGGTCAATGAGCTGCCAGCCTTGCAGCCGCTTAGACTCATTTTGTTTTGGATTGTAAGAGAAGGCATACAGTTCATCGTAGCTTGCTAAAGGAAACAAGAAAATAAGATATTATGCACCGAGTCAGATCCCAGAGTCTTTTGTGTCAGAAAAAGGGCAGGAATAGTTGAATTCATCATCTGATTATCTTTGTAGTTCTGTAACTGGGCAAGATATTTTATAAATATTCATGGTGGGTAAACTTTTCGAAAATGCCGACGTCACTAAGCGACTTTGGTGCTTTTGAAATATTTTACTCAGTATGTAACTTCCGCCCCAAAGAGTTTACAATCTGAAGTCACACAGGTACTATACAGTTAACTGACAAAAAAAGATGAATGGATATCAGCACAGGTAAGTTTGGTGGAATGTAGGTTTCAGTATTTTCTGCAGAATAGGGTGGTTCCTAGCCATACATCAACTGGGACATTTTCAAGGTTTAAGGGGCAACATTAAGAGTAGCACAAAGTTAGGAGTGGATTAGAGATAAAGCAGGGGTCTCAAACTCAATTTACCTTAGGGCCAGTGCCAGTCCTCAAATCCTCCCAGCGGGCCAGTAATGTCACTCATGCCACCCAGAAACCCCCCCCCCCCCCCCGCCTAAGGCTCTGGGAGGGAGTTTGGGTGGGGGAGGAGGTCTGGAGTAGGGGATTGGGTTGCAGGCTCTGGGAGGGAGTTTGGGTGCAGAAGGGGTGAGAGGTTGGGCTCTGGGAGGGAGTTTGGGAGGGGGAGAGGGTCTGGGTTGCAGGCTCTGGGCTGGAGTTTGGGTGCTGGGTGCAGGTTCTGGGCTGGGGCAGGGAGTGGGGGTGCAGGAGGAGGGGGTGGGGGTGCAGGCTATGGGCAGGGGAGGGGTGCAGGCCCTGGGAGGGAGTTTGGGGGCAGGAGGAAGTATGTGGGGAGGAGGTGGGGTACAGGCTCGGGGAGGAGGTTGGGGGCTGCAGCACTTACCTGGGGCTCCAAGGCGGGGCGGGCTGGGGGGGCCTCTGCGCACAGCTGCCCCCAGGCACCACCCCTGCAGCTTCCCATTGGCCACAGGGGTGCTCGGGTGGGGGCAGCACACGGAGGCACAGCCCCGCCCCGGGGCCACAGGGAGGGGCAAGCAGACATGTGGAGCAAGCAGGCAGATGCCGCTCAGCTCTCCTGTGCTGCCAGGGACCCAGGCCATGTAAATCGCCCCAAGCACCGCCCCCGCAGCTCCCATCGGTGGGAACTGTGGCCACTGGGAGCTGCAGGGGCGATGCCTGCGGACAGGGCAGTGCGCAGAGCCGTTTGGTCATGCAGAAGCCGGAGGTGGACATGCCGCTGCTTCTGGGAGCTGCTTGAAGTAAACACTGCACAGAGTCTGCACCCCTGAGCCCCTCCTGCCCCCCAACCCTCTGCCCTGATCCACCTTCCTGCCCTCCAAACCCCTCGATCCCAACCCAGAGCACCCTCCTGCACCCCAATCCCTCATCCCCAGCCCCACCCCAGAGCCTGCCCCTCAACCCCCCACCCAACCCCCTGCCCCAGCCCGGAGCCCCCTCCCGCACGCTGAATTCCTCATTTCTGGCCCCACCCTAGAGCCCGCACCCCCAGCCAGAGCTCTCACCCCCTCCTGCACCCCAACCTGAATTTCGTGAGCATTCATGGCCTGCCATACAATTTCCATTCCCACATGTCGCCCCCGGGCTAAAAAAGTTGCCCACCCCTGTTCTAGCAGCTGGAAGAACGTATAAAAGAGGGACAGTGACATCACCACTTGGCCTCTCTCCTGCCCTATCTTAACACCTAGAAGACTATTGGGAAGACAAAAGACTCTGAGCTTGGGAGATTGGTCCCAGGCTGAGAAGGGAATTCAGCCTGTGTATTAAGAACTGTAAACTGCCTGGAACATCCAGTGGGGTGAGAAAAAGCTGCTGGATTCAAATCTTGCTTAGTTTGTTAAAGTTTAGACTTTAGACTGCAATTTTATTTTTATTGCCTTATGTAACCTACTTTGACCTCTATGGCTAGCACTTAATTTAAAAATCTATCTTTCTTTAGTTAATAAACTTATTTTAATGTTTTATCCTTACCAGTGGGTTTGTCTAAAGTGCTTGGGTAATCTGTTCAGATTACAAAGGCTGGTGCAAATCCTCTGTCCTTTGACAAAGTGACAAATTAATCAATGAGCTTGCACTGTTCAAGAGAAGATCTTCAGCAGTGTAAGACAGTACATTTCTAGGGTACAAGGCTTGGGGGCTGGAGGAATTGGTTAGAGTCTCCCTCTGTATAATCCATGAATGGCTTAGAGAGCATTCATGCAACTCAGCTGGGCGTGTCTCTCCACAAGTTGATAGCTGAGTGATCACAGCACTTGGAAGGGTTTGCTGCTTGTCACTGGCATAACATTGTGAGAGACAGCCCAGGCTGAAAAGTTTAAGGGGACTCAGTGGTCCCCGCAGTCTAGGTTGTACCCCAAGGGATGTGACAACCAGCAGTGACTTTTATAAATGCGGTTTCACAATCACTTAAGATCTCACCCTCTCCCATACCCGTACGTCAGCACACTCAAAACTACACGCAGAGTAACAGTTACCAAAACTATGCACAGCAGATCAATGCTTTCTGTGTTTATGCCGCTCAATTTCAGAGACTTTACAGAAGCCTCACATTTAACAACAGAAATAGCACAAAGCCCAGAGTTGTTTTGCAGAATGGTGGCACAAACATACACTGCAAGGTCTTGTGCACTTGAAAGCCATACCTGGTTTTGACAGTTGCAGCAAAGAGTTGTAAATGTCATGACAATCCCTTTCTCTGGGAACAATAAAGTGAACTACCCTGAAGTTCTTGCACTGGATCACAAGAGGGCAGCCTGAAGTAGTCAAGGCAAGTTTCTCCACTGCAGCGATATGATGATGTAGTATCTATGGCACACAAGAATTCATAATTCAAGTCTTACTGTAAGATGTTAGTTAATAGCACTTTAAAATATACTTTTCAAAAGAGACACAAAGTATATTGTTAAACATAACTGAACAAGCTAGTCAAAAATCCTTATACAATAGATTTAATTTGTTAAAGAAATCTCTGACACTGGCATTTTGGTCAACCTATCCTAACCATTTATTTGAAATTATGCTCCTTCTCTTCCGCTAAACTTCAAAGGATTACCAGTATGTCACAAACTTCAAGCGAATATCTTTCTTCACACATAATGCAAAGGTAAATCTTCAGAAAGGCAGGTCAATCACTTTCTATAAAGCTCCGTTGCCTGAAAAGCTGTATCCATTTAGGTGTTGGGAAGATATGCAGTTGGTTGCTTTCCATGTCTGGGAGTGCTCTTAAGTTCAAAGCATCAAAAATAGCAACCAAACAAAACAGCTAAAAGTACAGAAAAAGTTATTTTTAGTTAACCTCTTAACTAGATTTAGTTGAACATTTTTCATCAAAATGATTTTCTGGAAGAAAAAAAAAAGTCTTTTTTGCAAAAGTGAAATTAAATTTTGCAAAAAAAAAAAAAAAATTCAATTTTCTGTCCTGAAAATCAAAAGGAGGGTTTCTCAGCTCCCTGTCTAGAAGGCTTTTGTCAATTTTGCTTTCCTTCTGTAGGCTGTGAAATTGACACAAAATTTTCCAGGAGGGCTGCTTAGGTTGAACACCTTAGCTTTCGGCCTCTCCAACACCAGAGCTGATGGTAGTGAGGGAGAGACAGGAAGGCTGAGCACCCTGCTCTTTGACAGCAGGCCTGAGAGGCTATTGTCAATTTCATTTTCTGCCAGATCCTTCCATGCCAGCAGCCGAGAAGGCTAAAATGTTTTGGTTCTCCAGAAACAATTTTTCTTGAAACCCCTTTTTGTGAAAAAAAAAAAATACAGCATTTCACCTCAGGTCAGGAGAAAAATATGGAATCTTTTGCAGGAAGGGATTTCCATTATCAGCCAGCTTTAATCTTAACACAACTCAGTTTTACTATCCTCGAACTTCAGTTTTAAGCAGTTGGACCACTACTTGACATGCAGAAGATGGACTTTCTAATGAAGAATGTGAAGGTTACCTTACATTTATGCCTATAACTGTAGTTTATGTTAGTGCTCTTTACTTTTGACATCAATTCCTAGAATCAGCCTCTCTTTACCCACACAGGTGTGAGCTAGGAGGCAGCATAATCTGTTCATGGGAACAGGATGAAAAGAGAGATGAGAAAGATCTACTATGAATTCTTCTACAGCTACTCATCTGGATGATCTAGATGTTATACTCAGACTCCAAAGTCAGTTCCATACAACTTCTCCCCCACCAAACCACCACCTCAACCACAATACATGTCCTTTGAGGGAAGAAAGAATTAACATAGGAATTTTACTAAGTTTTTTACACAGACATGTAAACACAACAGATCAAATATGGAAAAATGCACGTGTGATTTAACAGTTGTTTTCCTATGCAGGAAAGCCACAGACACAGTCTGCTTCATCTGAGACATTGAAAGGAGCATATTGTTCAGCCCTCTTACTACCACAGTTGTTTTCTCCTCTTAAGACTCAAATAAAATTAGACAGGAGTTTAAGAAAGCATTTTGCAAGACATGTATTTGAGAGGAAGAGACTAGATTTCAACAACAGAATTTTATACAGTGGAACCCAGTTTATCCAATCTAATTGGGACTGGGGCCAAATCCGATAATCAAAAATCCAGATAATATGGAGAATGGGCAAAGAGCTTCAACCGCTGGCAGCAAAGCCCAGGGCTGAGAGCAGGAGCTGAGCCCCGCCACCCGGAGGTTCAGTTAATATGGAGAGCCAGATACTGTAGGCTCAGATAAATGGGGTTCTACTATACTAACAATGATTAAAGATGCTCTTATATATACACTCTGTCTATAAATTTACTTCAGTACAAGTTGTACTGTGGATACAACTGGACTGACTTCAAGGATATTAAAATGAAGTAAAGCACAATGGGAACAATCAGTGCTTTTGAACTTTTTTTTTTTTTGTTAACATATACAGCACCTTTCATTCTGAAGAATTCCAAAGCTTCTTAAAAACTATGTACTGTATCCACAGAAACACTGAAGTACAGATTCCACTGAGACAGCAGGCAGCAGCTAGCCAAGCAGGTAATCAGGATACAGGACTAAGGTCATAGCTGAGATGCTCAGACCTTTTTTAAAAACCTACAAGATCGTCAGTGTTCATGCAGAACTGACACCCTTGGGTTTTGCGGTCTCACTTAAGGCTACAAGGATTTGAACCTCAAGTTCAAGGTAATCTAGATATGTTAAACCTGATGCTTAGAACACTAAACAATCTCCTCCTATCTGATAGCACAGAAAGTCAAAGTGGTAGAAATCTACACAAAGTCACCACACACAAATGAAGAACTAATTGGCATGACCATCTTTTAATAGACAAGAAATGGAAATTAGCTGCATAATGACTTGATTTTCAGAGATACCAAGCACCTACAGCTCCCACCTTTGAAAATCAGGCAGCTATTTAAGTGCTTAAATAATATGGATTTACTTTAGACTCCCAAGTTTTAAAATATTAGCTATAATGACAAGATGCAGCACTTAAGCCTGGTCACTGGCACAGTAAGAGTATAGATTGTGCATCTATTGCTTATTGTTTGTGTGCATCATGAAATAGGGGAAAATATTTGAGAAACTATATCCAGTTAATTATTTATCTTTAATTAGACATGCACAAGAAGAAAAAAAAAAAGGAAAGAAAACACATTTGGAGAAGCTATGCATTTTCAGGCTACAAGGTAATGCATTTGATATCCTTACCCAAGTCTCCTTCTGGCTAGAGTCTATAAATAACAGATGCGTTGCTGTAAGGTACAGAGTTCCCATTAACGATTTGTTGCTGGTGCTGAAACGGTCTATTAATTTCACCTGCTCTACCTGCAGGAAGGGGAAAAAAAACATTTTACGGGAAGTAAAAAATGACTGAACAATGCAGGGAAAAACCTTCCCTGACAGTGAGATCTATCAGCCTGTGGAATAATCTTGAAAGTGGTGGAAGCTCAAATACATTGCACATTTAAAACTACACCGGACAAATACTAGGAAGCAAGCAATAGCAAACATATCTGATTTGCCAGGAAGATTAACTAGGTAATCCCATTCAACACAATGCACAATAAATACACAAGGCTAGGATCATAAGTAGATTCAATTCTCATCTGTAAAGTTAAAGTTTTTCAAATAAAGAGTCACGTTCTGTTCTGCTACGTATTAGGGATTATTTTCCACTGGTGTTGATCGGTGCATTTAAGAACCATTTTGAAAGCAAGAGGTATAATTTGCTAAAGTAGAAAACATGTAGCATCCAAGTCTATCTGAAGTATAGCAGCAAATCCTCAAACACCAGTAAGTATATTATCCTGTTATGTAGAAGTCTCGAGTATTGAATTAATTTTTTTTTTCTTCCGAGGTTTTCTGTATCCCTGTCAGAGCCCACGGACCAACCTGTCCTGACTTCATTTTCACTCCCACTTTGTACTGTTCCCACCCTCCAAAATCTAGGTCATGGTGTAATGACTTGCTCTCTGGTAGTGAACTGGAAACTCCCAGTAAAATGGAAACAAGGGCTACTATCAGCAAAAAGACATTCTCCTAAAATAGCAGAGGACTTGTTTTTAGAATAGAGAGCCCTTGCGGGGAGAGATCTCTCATGCTGGCATCCAACCAAAAATCTTCCCATTCTTAACCCCAATAAAGGAATATTTCATAAAAAGGGATTTTAGATAGCCCACAATTTAGCTGGCATGAACAAAGCCCTTTAAAAACTCCACACAGTTTGTTTTACAAGAAACAAACGTTACATGACCCTATATATGAAACACCACAACACAAAAGGACTACAGTGAAAGGCTGGTCTGTGCAGTCCTCATTATTTCTTGGCAGGACTGTCTCATTAGTGCCAAGTTAGAGCTGTGTTACTAGGGGCCCAACGCTGTTCCCATTAAAGTCAATGGCACAACTCCCAATCACTTCTATGGCAGCAGGATCAGCACCCAGGAAAGGTGGCTGTGACAGCATAGATAAAGCCCTGGATCAACAAAGCAGGCATCTGCATTTCCTAGATATTACCTCGATAATGCAGGCACAGATAATGGTATCATTCTAGATGACCAGAGCACTGCTTTACCGCGTTATATTCGAATTCGTGTTATATCAGGTCGCGTTATATCGGGGTAGAGGTGTAGTTTGGAAGCAATATTTTGACAAAAAATAACATTGTCTCTAAGAATTGTAGAGAGCGTTCAATAGCAGGATGGAAACCAGTCACCCCAACAATATATGAAATCTATTTACAGTGACCAGAGTCACAGGAGAGGACTGAGTACTTGATTGGGACTGGTAGTGATGATCAAAGACTGCATGACAAAGGACATGTCTTGAATGTTCTCTAGTAAGATGGCTAGTATATCACAGAAGAAAAATACAACAATCTTAAGTCTTGCCTTGCAAGTGTTTAAAAAGCGATTAAACTCTGAGAAGTAACTAAAAACTGTATTCGGTCATTCCAGGTTTACTGTCTTGCCATGACTCCATATCAAATTTGTTCAGGTTACAAACAGATTTCCTGCCCCCAAAACCCTTATTAAATACCATGCCTGCAAACTCATCCTGAGATCCAACAGCCAAGTTGTACTCCTTCTGACAAAAGTATTACTAGTAAAAGACCCTTCAGTGGAATGGACTCAGAAGTAGTGATGATTTTTGAAGCAGAAATTAATCCCATAGCTGTATTGTTCTTCAATAGTAAATAAGCTAAAAGTAATACAATTGAATTATTTCACTAAAAGAAGATTTTAATTGGAATACACATAAGAAATAGATCTGTGGTGCTCTTTTCTGAGCATAACCATACTATTTCTTTAGTCTAACCAAAAAAAAAAAAAAAAATTGACAAACTGTCACTCCTGTACAATGTAAGCATCTAAGTACATTACAAAAGCTTGGCCAGACACTTGTAGAGTTCATTTCAGATTTGTTTAAAAAAGTAAAGAGCACCATATCCGGAAAGTCCGTCCACAGGCTGAACACAGTTACGTGTATGGCTTTATAGATTACAGAGTCAGTGATAAGAAGACTGGATGCACGTGTCAACAGTTCTCATTGGTAGAATACTGGGCCCACAGTTGCTGCTCTTTAAATATTCTGTGACTGTGTGGTTAGGCTCTAGTGCACCACTGCTAAGGTTCCACTGAGCACTAAAGTGGCACTACTAGGGGAACTGAGGCAGAAGCACAGGGACTGGGCTCTCTTAACCCCACTTCACATAGAATCCATCTCACTCACACTGCCCTTTATCTTTATTTTGCATGTTTAGTTCGAAGAGGAACAATGGATAAAATTTTGAAATGTATGTAAGGATTTAGGAGCTTAAGTCCCATTTTCAAATGCAATTTAAGCACTTCAAAGCTTAAATCTCATTGAAAGAGAATGGGATTTACGTTCCCAAGTCAATTAGGTGCTTTAGAAAATTTTACTCAGTATGTGCTGTAACAGCAATGAACACTAAGGGCAACTCCAAAGTTCCAAAGAGAATTTTCAATTACAAACTCAATCCACAATAAAATAGCCTCATTACTGAGACTGGAAAGGAAAGGGAAGGAACTTCATGATTACCTCTTCAGGTTAATGTTCTCACTGCCAGCCCATTGGTCTAGATCGGCGTGTCATTGCTCTGTTGCCCCTAGAACCCCCTATAAGTTTTGCCTTCAAGCCAGGATTCCATTTGCAGCATTCATAGTTTGTTTAGCCATTTACTATACCATCCACGTGGAAAACAAAATCTCCAAAGAGCAGTCAGATTAAAAAAGTAAATATGCCTCCCATAACAGTCAGAACAAAGTCCAGCCTAAACTATTATGCAGAAGGGATTTGCAAGATATTTATATTTGAATTGCCCCACTTCCCATGATAGATCTGCTTACATTTATTATCAACTGGTATATGCCTGCTTGCCTGCCTTCCTCCACTCCCATGCACATTATATCCTCCAAAGTTTATTTGAAAAAAAATCCAAACAAACAAAGCAAGCACATTAGTAGACATGTTTCATAATTGAACAGAGTCCTTGCATAACCAACCTTGGTCATTCCTGACAATTCAATCCCACATTTTAATGTGAATTGTTTCTAGCAGGATTTAAAAATAATATTAGTCTCTGACAGAGCACCCTCAAAAAATTCAGGACATATCATTTAAATTTCCTTTTTAAAAAATTACATTTTTCTCTCTTCATCTGATTATATTTACAGATAAAGGATTTTTTTGACAAGAGAAACTAAGGCCCAATTCTTGCAATTAACTCTGCACAGTCAAATCCTGTACCCATCCTGAGCCTCATTGATTCCTATGGGATTGGGCCTACACAGAGCTAGGTGGAGGTTTGGTGCCGAAGTAACTACTTGGAAATCGGTGAACCTAGCTAACCCAGTTTCCTGTCAAATGTAAAGTTAAAAGTAAAACATATATCTATATTCTGGATTGCTACTTTCATTTACAGGAGTTAAAATTTGCTGTAGTAAAAACAAAATTCTCAAACATTACTTTAAAAATGACAATGTTTCTTTCAGTCTATTCACTTGTCTCTAGTATGTTAGTTTTGTGTAGCATAATAAGTCTTAATTTATGTAGCTTTGTTGGCAAGCAGCTGACTGATCAAACCCTCCCCAGCCATAATGAGTTTTATATTGATGCATAAAGAAAATTAAAAACCGATAACCTGCTCCCTTAATTAAATATTGGCTATAACTACAGTACTTTAAAACTGGAACGTAACATCATCCCCTTCCTCCATATGTCTACAAATCTTTATGGTCAGACTGCCTGATCATTAAATGAATAGCTTGTGAGGTGATGGCTTCTGGGGAACTGCAGATAATGCAGTCTTCAGCAGCCTTTGCAGACAGCAGCCTCCAGCAAGAAGAGAGGGAGTGCTGAACTGCAACTCATTCAGCATATCAAAAAAACACCAGACAACACAGAAACACAGACATCAAGTAGTTTCAACTAGGAACATTTTTGCTTCTGCCATTTGCTTCTTTAAAACATATAAAGAGGGCTTGAAAGTTTTGTTTATATTAAATTCCCCTTACTTCTTTTCTTTATCAAAGGAAAAATATCAGGAATGTCTACTCTGGCCTAAGTGGTTTTTCTGGAGATGTCTCAGAGCTGCATTCTATTAGCTCTCACACTAACTGAAGGGGGCAAGGGTGATGAATCTTTAACAAAGGCATTCTTTCTCCAAAGTATGACCCACCTAAGTTAGAAAACAGATGCACACAAGTTTTAAAAAGTTACTAAAAATCCTCTCACTCATCCTTCACTCTCTTGATTCGTGATATCATTGGAGTAGTTTTGCAGACATCATCATCTACACTAGGGACATTTTCTAAATATTTCCCACCATAACAACAATTCAAGTCAATTTGTGCTTACAATGTTAGAAATACTAGAGTAGACTAGCAGTCAGCACTTCACTTATTGACTTTGCTCAGAACAGATCTAATTGACATGGTATTAAAGATGCTGGCAATCTGTCTACACTAGAGCCATGATCCAGCATGGGCAGTCCCTTATGCCCGTGCAGGGCTCTACTGAAGTCAACTGGGCTCTGCACTGGCGCATAGATGGCCATGCATGAATCAGCTTGGACGATGACTGTTTACAGGCCCCATCAGTTGTGTTCTAGCGCTACTGGGAACCATAAAGAACTAAAAATTGGTTCAAATTCAGTTTTTTCCCTTTGCAGGTCATCTTTAAAGAGGAATCATCAATTTAAAAATCACATTTCTGTATGAATTTTCCCTACTATTCATATAAAAATAAATCATAAAACCAGAACGGGGAAGAGAGTTTCCATTTCTTTGCCTGTTTACTTTGTACACAAGATGTTGTCAGATGCACAACCACTTGCACCATTTCCTCTGCATGACTTCTGTTTGAGTCTTTCACCCAGCAAAAGGAAAACATAAAAAAAAAAAATTGATTGTAAAACCACAGGAACTGACAGAGAAACACACTCCAGGGGAACTTGGCAACTATTTTTAACTCCCTTTGAACATAATTATATTTCCAGCTGACATGTATGGTGTGTACACTGAATATTTTCCTTTGGTGGGGTTATATCCTGCTCTGGCTGGGGAAGACAGGAGATGACTTGATCTGGAAAGTCTGCTCCATCCCTACCTTCTGTGATCCGTGAGGCACAGGAGGAAAAATGCGTCCTGTGACCGCTCCCATCGCGGAAACCATGTCAGCGCAGAGTGGGGAGGACACAGGCAGGGAGGGGGAGGTGGCTTTGCAGAGAGACTTTCACCACTCCCTGTTTTGTTTGTATTTCACAAACCTGCTGCACCAAACCGGCCGCGACTCCAAAGAGTGACCGGGGGAGGGGGGCGGGGGACAGAAGATCCTGCCAGCGGAGAGCGGCCCCGGCCCCCTGTCTGCACCCAATGTCTCTCACAGCTCCCCCAACGCAGCAGAGACTCACCTGCCACCCTCCCGGCAGCATCTCCCCAAAGGTCCCCTCCCCTATGGCGCCGCCACGCCTCCCGCACAATACTACCACCCCTATGCCCCCCCACCCAGCTCCCCACTACCTGCAGCCCCCCGTGACCCCCGCACCCTCCACGGCCCCCCACTTCCCCCAGTGGCCCAACCACCCCTATGGCCCCCCAGCGCCCCCCATGGCCCGCAGCGCCCTCCCGCACCCGGCCCCCGATTGCCACGCAGCGCGGGGAGGGGCGGCGGGTACCTTGGTGGTGCGGATGTGCTCCATGGTAGCTCCCGCCGCCGCCGCCGCTCACAGCTGCCACCGCCCCGCTACGCGCAGCGTCTCCTCGCCAGAGCCGCCGTCACCTGGAGACATTTCCGGGCAAGGGGGCGAGTCGGCGAGGGAGCGGCCCAGAACTGCCTGGGAAGAGCCCGCGCAGCGCCCCCTGCCGGCTGGGGGACTCATCGGGCTCTTACAGGGCCCCCAGCTGCGGGTGGGAGGCTGGATGTGGTGGGTGCTGAACTCGCCCCTGCGTTAAAGGCAGCAGCTCTGTGAGCCAGCCCCCAGCCCTGCCCAGCAGCATCTCGGTCACCACGGTGGGAACCACACAAAACTGTCACTCCTCCTTTGCCCAGCTAACACTAATGGAGAGATTAGCCCCTGTGCAGGGCAAGGCCTAGCAGGTACCAGTTAACCCCACTTCAGACTGGGGATTCTCCCCAAAACCTCAAATAAACCTGAACCCCCCCCTCCCCCATGTTATCCACCCTAGATAAAATAACCCAGCCCTCAGGGGCTGACACCTTGGAGACAAGAGCCTTAGCCACCCCAACCCACCTTCTCCTTTAAGAGATGCCCCTGACCCACTTCTCCCTGTTTTGGTGCTTTACATGCCATATCACATAGCAAGTCAACATACAGATCACTTTATTTTATGTTGCTGAACATCACAACATAACTGTTTATTTGTTCATGGGAGGCATCTGGAGCATGAGACACATCTTGAAAATCTAAAGAAAGAATTAAGGCCCCAGTCCTACAACAAGCTCTGTGTGGATGCAGGGATCTATCCAGGTGGATCTCAGGGTAGGATCATGGCCCACATTCCCAATCCACCAGCCTACCTCTTCCCAAACAACTGAAGAAAGTGGAGAGCTTTGCAGTGTACAGGTCCAGGCTGTGGTGACTCAGGGAGCAAATTCCAAAGCTGATAATAATGATTATAATAATGCAGATAATGAAAGGCTGTAATAGATAGATAGATAGATAATATCATTTGGACCACAAATAAAGCATGGTGTGTTGCTTCTTAAAAATAAGTTTTGGCCTTCATCTTCTATATACAGTTGTCCTTCACTCCCATGAAACACAGGTGATAGCCCTACCTTTAAATCTCCTCTTTGTGTCACACGATTAGTGTTATAGTTACTGATCTATTAAATTCACCAGTTTTAATGTTAAATTTCTCAGCCACAGACCCCAGTGTTGAAGGTCCCCTGGCGCATCCTCTGACCACCTCTTACCAGGAGGCTTCTATGAAATATAAAGCTGTCCTCCTCTGACAGAACCTCCCTGAGGAAGTCAACAGTGGAAACACTACCTCTCCCCTCCCCAATGAATCAACCCATCTGGCACAGCAAGTCAGTACCTTCCTGCTCCCAAGAGTGAGTGAATTTGGACCAAAGTTTCTAAAGATTTTTGAGAATGAAAAGTGCAATAAAATTATTATTTTATTAGTTATTTAAACATAGTTATGCACACAGATATGACACAGGATTTCACAGCTGCAGACTGAGGCAAATACTACAGATGGATTTTAAACTAAGATTAGATCATTTTATGTCCATCAATAACATTTGAAGCTCAGTAAGCCAAGGCATGTAATACATGTTATCAAAACTCAGACTTCAACAGTGTCTAAGAAAAAGTACTTGAAATTCTAGATATGGAGTACATCACAGCCTGAATCAAACCATCTCAAGACTTGTTTCAAGAAAGATGGGCTCCAGCAAACCAGTTGCTCGGGATCTTTGGTGTGTGTGTGTGTGTGTGTGTGTGTGTGTGTCATGAATCACCAACTTCCTGTAAGTCTCCTTCCTGTGTGATGCCTTTCCACCAAAAGGCCTTATGACTTCATATTTACTTGTAAAAGAAAGTTTAAAATAAAAAATTTACTATTCCAGAACCAACTAATACTCAAAATACCTGTTTGTATACTTCCCAATGGATTTTCAGGAGGCCACCTGAACAAGCACAATGTATGACCCTGCAAAAATCTAGATTTCTGAGTCAGGGACTGGCAAAAGAGGCTGGGGTCTATAAGCAAAGAAGCTATTTCCTGTTTTTGGTTCCTCCTGCATTCAGAGAAGAAAGACTTTATACATTCCTTGTAATTCATCAAGATTGTATCAAAGAAAATACCTGACTCTATCATTAATTTCTACTCCCAACTGGAACAACCTCAGGTCCTAAAATTTTGACTAGCTGCTAAGATCGAAAAGGGGCAACACTATGTATACACAAAGTATATACTATACCCACATATATACAAACAATATATAAATATATATCCTTGATGCTCTGGAAGATGTGAGGGGAATAGCTACCAATGGGCTTCCCCAAAGATCTTCTTAAACTAAAAGAGATGTATGGGCCATCAACAGCCTCCTTCTGAAGATCCCACTATCCCTGGAAAAGGATGTTGAACCTGCCAGTGACATCCCTCTTACAGATATTTTGTGCATAGAAAGGGAAGAGGGACACTGGACAAAAGGGACAGAATCATCTCTGATGATCCCAGTGCTTTGGAGGAAAGGCTGATCCACTGCTCTGCATTCTATAAAGATCCAGGTGTCCCCAAGGGGAAGTGAGCTGCCAGAAACCTCCTCCAAAGTTACTGCTTCAGGAGGGATCAGGCCACCAACAGTTGTCCATTGAAGAGCCTGCTGCTCTATTTGGGGGGTCAGAACACCAGGAACTTCACAAAGATGTACTTGTTTAGGGGTCTTCACCAGTTCACTAGCGGTCATCCAGCTACTGAACACAGCAGCTACCTAAGCTCTTTCCACACTATGTCTGAAACCATAATATCATCAAAGAACATAGGACACAGGACTGAAAAGGCCTCCTGGGTCGTCAAGTCCAGTCCCCTGCTATTACAGGCAACCCCAACATAATCCCATTCACAAAAATTATCAAGCTACATTTTAAAACTACTTAGGTTGTTTGCCCCCCCTCCCCTCCTCCTCACTCCAATTGGAATGCTATCACAGAACCTCACTCCTCTGATGGTTAGAAACCTTCTAATTTCTGGCCTAAATTTATTCTCGGCCAGTTTATATCTATTTGTCCTTGTGTTGACATTGTCCTTTGGGTTAATTAGCTCTTCTCCCACTGTCCTTTGGGTTAATTAGCTCTTCTCCCACTCCCTGGTCCCTTCCTTCCCTCCTTTTCCTATTTAGGAACATCTTTTCCTATTTTATTACTATAATGACCACCCCCAACATGTTATGACTATGTTTGTCTGGTTTTGTACTGTCTGATCTTGCAGCTTTGATGAGTTGTAAAACTGCATAATTGCATAATTCTATTGGAGACCCTGTGAAGCGTGCTGTGTTCAGAAACATAAACAAACATACATTCCCACTCAGCCTTCATTTTGCTAGGCTAAACAAACCAAGCTCTTTTAGTTTTCTATTGTTTCTATTAGTTATTCCATTTCCATGATCATCCTACCAGCCCTTCTGTGCAGCTTTCTAGATTGAATTCATCTTTATTGAACATGGGTGATCAGAATTGTACACAGTATTCCAGATGAAGTTGTTGGAATTATTAATATTTATGCAGAGTATTACCACAACCCTAATTTAACCATAAATTCCTTTATTAAATCTGAAGACCAAATGGTATTTATACAATTGCTCTGAACAAGCCTAAATAATAAGCAATTTACTATACCCAATGCAGTAACAAAACATTTATCAACGATTGATCAAAAATCAGATACTTACAAATGAGCTAATCCCAGGAGTGTTTAAATCAGGGGTGGGCAAACTTTTTGGCCCGAGGGCCACATTGGGTTTCCGAAATTGTATGGAGGACCAGTTAGGGGAGGCTGTGCCTCCCCAAACAGCCAGGCGTGGCCCGGCCCCCGCCCCCTATCTTGCCCCCCCCCTGCTTCTCGCCCCCTGACGGCCCCCCCCGGGACTCCTGCCCCATCCAACCCCCCCGTTGCCTGTCCCCTGACAGCCTCCCCGGGACTCCTGCCCCAGCCATGCCCCCCTGCTCCCTGACCGCCCCCGGACCCCTGCCCCCCACTGCCCTATCCAAACCCCCCCGCCTTTCTGACTGTTCCCCCGGGACCCCTGCCCCCATTCAACCGCCCTGTTCCCCACCTTCTGACTGCCCCGACCCCTATCCACACCCCGAACTCCCCTGCCCTCTATCCAACCCCCCTGCGCCCTGCCCCCTATCCAACCCCCCCTGCTCCCTGCCCCTTTACCGCACTGCCTGGAGCACTGATGGCTGGCGGCGCTACAGCCGCACCACCCAGAGCACCAGGACAGGCAGCCGTGCCGCCCGGCTGGAGCCAGCCACGCCGTCGCGCAGCACAGAGCACCGGGTCAGGCCGCGCGCAGCTTTGCAGCTGTGCTGCCCGGCAAGAGCTCGCAGCCCCGCCGCCCGGAGCATTGCGCCGGCGGCGCAGTGAGCTGAGGCTGTGGGGGAGGGGGAACAGCAGGGGAGGGGCCGGGGACTAGCCTCCCGGGCCACGGGCTGGGCAGGACAGTCCCGCGGGCTGGATGTGGCCCGCGGGCCATAGTTTGCCCACCTCTGGTTTAGATCCACGTTGGTCAGCTCCAACATGGTCAGGCAGGTATTAGCAATGAACCCTTTCAGAGTTTACTTTTTATACCCTTCAACAAACAAGTGATGTCATTGCCAAGTACTGACTTCACCTAAAAACCAATTGGAGTCAGATCACCCTTATTTCCACTTTTATCCCGATAAGAATTACAACCTCCTTCCTTCCCTAGGCCTTTCCTCCCCACCTTCTTGCTGACCAGCAATTTTTCCATTGCACCTTGATTCACATAAGTGTTAACACCAGTGTGTGGGATGGGAAGGGTCATGTTGGCTCATTTTAGGACAGATTCTCTTTATTTAAAACCATCTGCAGTCATCCCTATCAGTCAGAGTCCTTCTTTTTAGAAACTTCCCCTTATCTCATTAGTTATTCTTTGAAACAGACATCCTCCCTACTTCATTCCTTCTGGCCTTATAATTAATTATTTTCAAGGCCTTTCCTTCTAATTGCTAGTCAGGGCCTTTCTTTACAACACATATGTATTTCCTTTACCAAACTTAAACTAACTCTAATTCTTAATTTTATATTTATCCTAGAGAGGTCTTACCAGTGCCTTGTACAATGGCATTTAATACTTCCCTATTTTTATTGGAAATACCCTGCCTGTTACATCCTAAGATCATATTTCTATTTAACAGCTGCATTACATTGGTGGTTCATAGTCATCCTGTGATCAACTAATACACTGATGAACCCTCAGCTCATATCAGAATTTCTTGTTATTAGTCAGTAAGTGCAATGACCTTGCACTTTGTACTATTAAATTTCATCCCATTTCTATTACTACAGTCCTTAAGGTCATCCAATGCTTCCTGTATAATATTCCAATCCACTAGAACCTTCCCCCACACTTAATAGTTCTCTTTTCTGCACAACCATTATCATCCACCAAATTAGCCAGTCCCTAACCCACCTTACAATTCTTGTGCTAATCCCCATTGTAACAAATAATTTTTCATGTGGCACCATATCAAATGCAGTTGATTAGATCAACTGCATTTTCCATGTCTAAAAAAATCAGCTATTTTATCACAGAAAGATATCAGGTTAGTCTGGCACAATCTACCTTCAGTAAACGCAAATTTCATTTTATTCCATTTACCTCCATGTTTTTAATTATTCTTTCTTTCAAAATCTGTTCAATGTCTTGCATTGAGGTCAGACTGATGCATCAGTAGTTGCCTGGATCAATCTTACCCTTTTAAAATATAGGTACAATGTTTGCTATTCTCCAGTTATACAGTACCATCCCTGATTTGACAGATTTATTAAAAATCATTACTACTGGACTTGCAGTTTCATGTGTCAGCTCTTTCCATATACTGGGATGGAGATTGTCCAGCTCCCCTGACTTGAACACGGTAAGTTTTGCTTCTGTGCAGTTTTCCTGACCAGTGTGCACTGGGATTTTCCCTCTGAGGACCATCTTTATAAAATTATACTACAGACTATTTGGGGTGCCTATGTTGGTGGTCTATAGAATACAGTAGTTCTACAAAAAAAAAAAAAAAAAATCTGTCCACACTGGTCATGAAAACTGTTCTAGATTACAGTCATGTCTGTCCAAGTCTGGGGATTGCTAGCACAGAGTCAATCATAGCACAGCTAGAACTTTAACATGAAGCTTCCCTGATGTTTGGATTTTGTGCTGATGTACTGCTTACTGACTGGTAAGTACAAATGCAACATTTGTGACATCATGATCCAGTTGGCAAGTCAAGAAGTGAATTTCAAACAATGGAAATGCTCAGAGGCATCATCATGTCGATGTCATCTAGACCAAACTAGGAAAAAAGGGGTAAAGGTTAAAAAGCTGAAGGGACAACACAGAACCTTTAAAAAACAGTTGGCCTGGTCAAAATCCAGGCAGATAAAAACTGCATCTGCACTACTTGTGGGGGAGACTGGGTCACAGTCACTGCCATGTCAAGAAAGAAGGATCTCTTTTGTCTGGGGCTATGTTGTAAGGGTGTCCCTCAGACTGATTCCACAAGTAGGTAAGAAACATTACTTCAAACTCCATTGTCATTAAGAACCTAACAGGCAATGGCATTTTGCCTTCTTGTGTCATTGACCAGTCTTGTTCAGGCCTCTTCAGTTAGCTGCCCTAATGGTGGGTCACTACAGGCCAGGAAGAAAACTCTGTTGAGCTTAGATGTTGAACAACATCTGTGTAAAAGAGGAGTCTATCTTCTTTGTCCATGGGTAGTCTTTTGGATTCCACAGGCTGTGGGGATACAGGCAGAGCCCCTGAAAGCTGGTGTCACAGGAACCATAAAAAAGCTATCCCTCAAGCATCCAGGTGTAAATATAAGCACAGGCCAACCAAAACACAACTATCCAGTGCAACTACCTAGTACACTCTGCTTTGCAATAAAGACTTTGCAGCAGACAGGGAATCTTCAGTTGCTTGTCTGAGGCATGTTTAAGCCCCCTTTCCACAGGTATGCAGTAATGTTCTAGCCAAGATTCTCACCTCTGCCTTATATGCATATAGAATCTCAGCCCTAACATTGTATTAATATATTTTTTTGCACTGAATATCCTTTCTTTCTTTTTTTAAAGGGCACATGGTTGTTGATTACACAGTACTTTTTTCAATGTTTAATTGTTGCAATACTTTGTATTATGGACCTATAGATATACATGATCATAAACTAAGATATGTACACATGTTTATTTGGAACTCCATGTCTGTGAATTATAGAAAAAAGGATACCATCATGGAAGTACGCATTTCTGTGTTTACAAGATTGGAGTGATTGTTGAGGCTGCAATCTAATGCAGATTTTCACTCCCACTGTAACTCAAAGTAATAAATAACTTCTTTAACATTTCAAAGTTTGCTGTAAGGTGAATTTTCCTATGTAGACTTTTTCATGGACTGCAAGATTATGAATAACTTTATATACTTTCCACCAAGTGGTTTAGGCCAAGACCCCAATCCTGCAAACACTTATGCATGTGCAAAAAGAACAGGAGTACTTGTGGCACCTTAGAGACTAACAAATTTATTTGAGCGTAAGCTTTCGTGGGCTACAGCCCACTTCTTCGAATGCATAGAATGGAACATATATTGAGGAGATATATATACACATACAGAGAGCATGAAAAGGTGGGAGTTGTCTTACCAACTCTGAGAGGCCAATTAAGTAAGAGAAAAAAACTTTTGAAGTGATAATCAAAATAGCCCAGTACAGACAGTTTGATAAGAAATGTGAGAATACTTACAAGGGGAGATAGATTCAATGTTTGTAATGGCTCAGCCATTCCCAGTCTCTATTCAAGCCTAAGCTGATTGTATCTAGTTTGCATATCAATTCACTCAATGACAGACCTACGGGTGGCAATTTTGCAACAGAAAAGCTTCAAAAACAGACTCCAATGAGAAACGGCTGAGCTTGAATTGATATGCAAACTAGATACAATCAATTTAGTCTTGAATAGATACAGACTAACATGGCTGCTACTCTGAAACCTGTCATTATGCATAATTTTAAATTCGGGACTAGTCCAATTGATTTCAGTAGAACTACTCACATGCTTAAAGTTGAGCAATTGCGGAAGACAGGGACTTGTCACCTCAGTCAGTGTTAGGGTGACCAGATGTCCAGATTTTATAGGGACACTCCCGATTCTGGGGTCTTTTTCTTATATAGGCTCCTATTACCCCCCATCCCGGTCCTGATTTTTCACATTTGCTGTCTGGCAACCCTAGTCTGTGTCCCAGGACAGGATGGCAACACTGCTGTTATCAGTGGTATTAAGATGTCAGAAATGGGACAGAAGAAACCAAGGTGACAGTTATATGCTGGGTGGGACATCGTCGCAGCAGTGCCCTGATTTTGGCATCGTGCTTGTCAGAACCCATGGGGCAAATTAGGAGACGGGGGTGACATCGCACCGGGATGCTGCAAAATCTACGGGAGGGGGGCGCAGCGACCCCCCGGACTGTTACCTCAGCGCAGGATCCCGCTGGAATTTCACGCCCGGCCACGTGCCGGGGCGGGCGGGGCGCGCTCGGGCCTGGTTGCTGCTGCTGCCCCGGCCCTAGGCGCCCCGCGCGGTGACCCGGGGAGCAGAGCCCCGGCCGCCCGGAGCGAAGGGCTCAGCTGGCTGCCTGCCGGCGTTACTGTCCCTTTAAGTAAAGTCCGCGCGCAGCCGGCTCCCCCACTATCCCTGGGTGCATTGCGGCGAAGGGGGGGAAGGGATATTGTCGCTGCGCTGCTGCGTGTGGGGACGGGGATACTCGCCGCGCCTGCTGCCCCGGTTTGAAGTTGGCGCCCGGGAGCGATGCGGCGCTGAGGAGAGGGAGGCAGAGGAGACACAGGCCGCCGGCGCCGCCATGTCTGCGGGATTCTCCTTCGGGGCCGGCACGCTGGGCTCCGCGGCCGCCGCCGCTGCTGGGGCGGGAGGCGGCGGCGGGGGAGGCTTCTCCTTCGGAGCCGTCCAGCCGAGGTAACCGCGGCCCGCCCGCCTGCTCCGGCCCGGGATGGACCCTTCCCGCGTGGGGCGGCGAGCGCCCGATCGGGCCCTGCCAGCTGCGGCCCCACGTCTCTGAGCCTGGCCCCGCTTCCCCGCAGGCGGAGCTGGGCCCCGGGAGCGCCTCCCCATCAGCGTCCGGGCCCGGCCCTTATCTGCGCTTCACGTGCCTCCCCTCCCGGCCGCCAGCGCCGCGCTGCTCCGCTCCGCTCCGGGTGTCCCCGTCCCTAGGTGGGAGTCGTGTGTGACTCGGGGGCCTGATGGGGTTTCGCCGCCCGCTTCTTCTGCAGCGGCGGCAGAGCGCTCCGGAGGCGACAGGCCCGTAGCTCGGGGCTTTGGGGGGTTGATGAAACGCCCCTTTCTGCCCAGTCGCCGTCAGGCTCCGCTTGCGCAGGAGCGACTAACGGGCTTCATCGAAAGTGGCGTCCGCAAATGCAAGTGTGGGGTTGCATTTGGGGGCCGGGGGCGACGTCCCGTCCAGCCGTATGCTCCAAAGGGAGAAGTGGGAATCAGTAACCAAGTATTTGTATTCTGGAAATCCCCTTTCCGCTCTACTGTGTACCCTGCTACTGCAACAAACAAGTCTGCCCCCCAAAGGCCTAGGCTTGGCATTTAAAATCCAAGATCTGAATTTTGTGTTCATCCAGAGTGAAAATAAAAAATGCACGTTTCTAAGGAGAGTTGAATTATTGTCCCATAGGTCTCCACATGCAGTAGAAATGAGGGGCTTAATATGGAAATCGCTTACAAACCATCCTAGTGTAGTTAAGGATTCAGTGAGAACATGGCAGTCAAATTTCATTTGACTATATCTGCGCTTGTACACTTTTCCACAGTGTGTGGCGGCCTTCCCTCTTTCTAAGGATTACTGTGAATAGCCCTTTGGAGAACCCAACAGTGCTACCTCCTTACAGTTTCTTTGGTGTCTCACACAATTTAAGCATATTACTGTCCTAACTAGCATGTAACACATTATATACTATTAATGATGTACTGAAATACTCTCTGCTTATTGGTGCTTTTGACATTTACTGCAGCTTATTGTTTTACATTAAGGATTTTTTTGCTCCTCACAATACACTTTCTAAAATGTAAATACCAAAAATCCTGTATTATTTTGTCATGCTTATTAGGGCCTGATTTATAAACTGAGTTTTGACGACTCAGTGAATATGCCCACAAGTGATGTGCAGTAAGTTGTCAGGAAAAAAACATGAAGGAATTAGGGGCACAACTTGTTTCAGAATTGGACTTGCAAAAATGGAGGCTTAATTTGGAAGTGAGGATTTTAGAGTTTAAGAATCCGTGAGTGATCAACTGAAAGTAAATTCACCTTTGTGATGGTTTGGTTATTGGCAGTAAAGTTTGATAGCTATATCTTGACAAGCCAATTACTTTGGAACTTACTTTTAAAGAGGGCTTAGCGTTTTAATGGCTGAGACCTGTTTGCTGTGCTTGGGGAAGAAACAGGGATGAAATAATTGCAAATATGGACATATGAAATGGGTTAGTTTGCAAAATAATTGATGCTAATAGTCAGTTTTGTCTTGTAATAGCTCAACCGGAGGGCTTAATTTTGGAACCTTGGGCGCCTCGACTGCTACAGCAACTACATCAGCTCCATCAGTGGGCTTTGGAAGTGGACTCTTTGGTTCAAAATCTACCACTGGGCTTGCTCTAGGAGGTACTAATACAGGTAGGAAATGCATGTGAATTTATTCCTTTAATGTAGCAGAAATTTGGGCTTTTGCATAATCTGTGTGTTTCATGAATTAGTAAACGAACAAACACAAAAAGGAAGACTAATGCACCACAAAGTGTGCTGAAATGTTTTTAACTATAGCTATATACATTGTTAGCAAATCTGTTATCTTTTTTTAAAAATAAGATCCTAATAATGCATTACAGCATTACTATTACTGAAAACCCTGATAACTGAACCTTTAATAGATGAATGTACTTGCCATCTGAAATTTTTATCTGGTCCTGTGTATGAATTTTGTATAGGAGCTGGAATTTTATACTATGAAACACTGATTTTTACGGAGGCTTTGGCCATTCCAACAAGACTTCCCTAAAATGTGGATTTGTCTGTATATTTCCTGGAGACTGGGAGAGGCCACCAAAATTTTGTGTGGATTATAGCTTGCAGTTGAATACAATGTGGGGGTTCAGTGCAGTGTGGGTTTAAGGTTGTACTGTACTTTGTCTTTAAGGATATTCTGAAAATTATTGCTAAGATGCCATAAACACATTCATTTTCTATGTTGTCATTTACAATGCTATAGTTCTTATAAGCGCTTCATATTAGCAATAATAATTTGGCCAAAACTTCCTTTCTAAGTTTGGGCAGTTGTGTACTTTCTCAGGCTAAGAGACACCTTTTCTTCAGTTTTGTATAAACCGTTCTGTGGGTTATTTAACAGAGGTACAGAAGAAAACTTGTACCGTTTTAAAATCGGCCATCACACATGCACAATAGCTAGTATTAGTGAATTGTGTACATGCACAATAGCTAATATTAGTGAATTGTGTTGGTTTTTGAGAATGCTGTCTCTTTCATACACTCTAATGTGATTGTCTAAAGTTACATCTTACGGGGAATATTTGTAACATTGTTACATCATTGGATATTATAAATAAATTGCCTGGGGAGATTGTAGAATCTCTGTCATTGGAGATTTTTAAGAGCAGGTTAGACAAACACCTCTCAGGAATGGTGTAGATGATACTTAGTGCTGCCAGGAGTGCAGGGGACTGAACTAGATGACCTCTCGAGGTCCCTTCCAGTTCTTTGATTCTATGATATGGGTTGCATTATCCCCTTAGCTTGCCTCTCTGTTTGAGTGATCCATTAGAATCATAGACTATCAGGATTGGCAGGGACCTCAGGAGGTCATCTAGTCCAACCCCCTGCTCAAAGCAGGACCAATCCCCAGACAGATTTTTGCCCCCGATCCCTAAATGGCCCCCTCAAGGCTTGAACTCACAACCCTGGGTTTAGCAGGCCAATGCTCAAACCACTGAGCTATCCCTCCACCTCTCCCCCATTAGTTATTGTCCTCTAATTGAATTAGAAGTAAGTTTCTTAGAAGCTGAAATTGCATAACTGTAATGAGTGATCAATTATGATTTTAAATTTATATGGGGAAGAAACTAATTTGAGACCCAGTATTCTGAGTAGACCATGGACTCTGTAATCCTTTCCACTATAATGCAAAACCACACTGTTGTGCATGTTGGCATTCCTGACAGCATGTAAATCTGGAGTTCAACCATTTAAAAACGCTGGTGTTTTTAGTGGCTTTAATTTCATTTAAATTGTAGTGTACTGCTTAACTGGCATTTTAATTGCATAGTCACTATTTACCAATGGCTCTTCAACACAAATGAGTTCTGTACATTGTTGACAAGTTAATTGTGCTTTCCCAGGAGGGTTTGTACTGCTAATACTTATTTGAAACCTATTCTTATTTTGCGTTTAAGATTCTAAACCAGAGTAAATCTTTTATGTCCAAAAATACTTTATAAAACGTATTCCAATTTATCTTGTGTCATTGTGGAGACTGCAACACAATATAATTCAGTATTTTACTGGTACTAGTAAACCATAAACAACTACTAAATTGTGTATGAAGCTTGGTAAAATATGATATAAAGTTGATTATGGATTTTTATTTTGTTTTTCTTGGCAGGAACAGCTACAACTATTGCTACAGGATTAACACTGGGTAAGAGCCACATATTTAGAAGCTATTAGTATTTGGAGACAAACAAATATGCTCTAGACCAGGGGTTCTCAAACTGGGGATTGGGACCCCTCAGGGGGTCGTGAGCTTATTACATGGGGGGTCACAAGCTGTCAGCCTCCACCCCAAACTCCGCTTTGCCTCCAGCATTTATAATAGTGTTAAATATATAAAAAAGCCTTTTTAGTTTATAAGGGGTTCGCACTCAGAGGCTTGCTATGTGAAAGGGGTCACCAGTACAAAAGTTTGAGAACTACTGCTCTAGACCAATTGTTCTCGTACTGTGAGCACTTACTGAGGCAGAGACCTGGTAGCCGCATGACATGGGTTCTCTTCATATTAAAGACAGCTAAAAGTATATTACTATTTCTCCATGTAAGGAATTATTGTAGTTGCCACAGGTTTAATGTCGCCATTGATGGGAGATCAGGTACACATGGTTATGAGGAAACTTTTGGCTCTTTTTATGGCAGTGTGCTTTAAACTGGTTTTGAAGGATTGATATACTGTTGGCTAAGACTAATGAGGCCATGGGCTATATATGTGGTTTTGGAACAAAGTGCACTGAACTGAGGAACATGGGTGCTCTGTCTAGTTCACGTATCAGAGGGGTAGCCGTGTTAGTCTGAATCTGTAAAAAGCAACAGAGGGTCCTGTGGCACCTTTAAGACTAACAGAAGTATTGGGAGCATAAGCTTTCGTGGGTAAGAACCTCACTTCTTCAGATGCAAGTAATGGAAATCTCCAGAGGCAGGTATAAATCAGTGTGGAGATAACGAGGTTAGTTCAATCAGGGAGGGTGAGGTGCTCTGCTAGCAGTAGAGGTGTGAACACCAAGGGAGGAGAAGCTGCTTCTGTAGTTGGATAGCCATTCACAGTCTTTGCTTAATCCCGATCTGATGGTGTCAAATTTGCAAATGAACTGGAGCTCAGCAGTTTCTCTTTGGAGTCTGGGTCTAGTTCACATTTGCTCATCCTTAAATTTTTGGGGCCTGCTGAGCTTTAGGAGCCATGTCAATGCTGTTTGAGATAGAGATAGATATAGAGAGAGGGTTTTTTTTTGTTTTTTTTTTTTTTTGCAGATTGAGGCTCTTCAGGGAAGCATTCATGTTTCTTCACAGATATTCTTTTAGCGATGGTTCCTTCCCATACCAAAGTTTATTGTACATCTATCAACCTTAGATATGGCAATATCCACTCTGGTGTTCTCCATCAGAACTGCTGCCTCTACACAGTTGAGGGAGTACAGAGTCCTTTCAAGACCTAAAATTGTTGACTTCCTGCATGGTTAAACCACTTATTGTATAATGTTTATGTGAACGCATATTGCCTCTGTGGATCATACACAAAGAGAGCACTGTCTCATTCAGTGTTTCTTCATTCACAGTGTCAAGATCCATTTGGTTGTGGAAAGCTGTCTTTTGGCCTTCCATTCAGTATGACTGAAAGGTGTTAGCTTGTTCACCTCAAGTGATATTACTGTCTTTGGTGACGAACTTGCATTGGTAAACTGAAATCAACAAATATTATCATTCTAGTTAGGTTGGGGCCCATTGTTCTGGGCACAGTATATTTTCTGCCCCAAAGAGCTGACAGTCTAAATAGACAAGTTAGACAAAGGGTGGGAAAGGAAACAGGTTGGATTCAAAGTTTGTAGGTTCAGATCCCCATGGAGTCGCCAATAGAAAGACAAGTGATTTTGTTGTTAAAAAAGAAATTTGCTGCCTACCCTTTGCTTGAGTGAACTTGGCACGAACAGACTTGTTCTCTAACTCCTTTTGATGGACGGACAAAAAGTGTTGAGCTGGGAAGGAGCCTTCGGAAGGTATTTCTACCTTCATTGTTTCTCTGATGCTTCTTTAAATATCCATATTTCTCAGTCATGGTTATGGCAAGAAATACAGGTGTAAGTGTACCTATTCCTGAAAAGCAGATAGCAAAGCAAAATAGCTCCTCGCCCAAAGCAGCAGCTGAGTCCTAGGTGAAATTAAAGTAAGCTATACCACCATTCAAAGCAGCATAAAAGGGGATACAATCATATTATAGCATCAGACAGTTTTGATGCTGTTCTGTGAACAAGTTCAATGAAAGAGGCCCAGTGTAATAGAGGAAGATAGAACAAATCAAGGGTAAATCACCCCCGGAACAGACTGCATGACCCCTAGAACACGTGTTTGGAAGTGGTGTCCTCTCCTGTACGGAGAAATAGTCCCTCATTTCATTGGGCAAACTGGCAGTTACCCTCCAGTTACTAAGTTTAGCTTTCTTAGTCCTGGCCAAAAGACCACCTCGCCATTACTGTTTCTATCCAAAACAACACAGAATTAAGGAGAGGGCCGTAATGATTCTGGTGGCATCATACTGGCTGCAGAGATTATGATTGTTAGACCTAATAACATGACACTAAAACCTGGTATGACAATGAGGTGTGCCCACTATAAGAACCTAGATAGAATCACAAATGTTCCTGCCATTCAGAAAGGACCTATATACATACGGTCCCATCATGTTACCTAATAAAGCTGTCTTCCTGGCATTTGAAAGGAAGCAACTGAAGTAATTATATTTGGGCAGAAAATCTCTGCTTATAGCTTCCAAGTAAGTTCACTAACTTAGTGTGCTCCATAATCTGACTAAAACCTAAAAGCTGGTGTTCAGTAAGTAGTTACACCAAGTTTGACAAAAATCGAGAACCTACTAGAGTTCCATCAGGACTGTTTCACTATGAGTTTAAAGGTGCCCAAGTTAAGGCACACATTAAATGTATCCCATGTAGAGGTGTCCAGAGGGAAGAATCTCTCCATCTATATACTAAAATTTCTTCAATCAGCTTCTCAGATAAACTTCAACAGAACTCTAACCTGGTGCTGTATGCCCTGCACATGACCACACTTTGAACACTTGGTGGACCTTCTTACCAAGTCATTCTTGCAGCCAAGCAAATATTGGATTTGGGAGTTCTGTCTATAAAGGACAGGCACCCTGTTTTTTATTATTATAATTTTTTTTGCATGATCTTGACATTCATCCTTAAAGTCTGCTCCATATGTTACTCTACTACAATCACACGTACAATCTACATGACTGATGGAAAAGCTATGGCACTCCTTTCCATTCTGTATGGATTTTTACATCCTGATGTCTGTGCAGCACTAAAATGTCTAGACAAAACTGAAGCATGTAGAGTACACCCTCGCTGTAACAAAGCCCTGGGGATCCAAGCCATTTTTTCGGTATATCCAGGGATTTGTTCTAGCGATGGGAGGGTGGGGGAGAGGAAGAGATTCTCCAGCCGTGGCTGGGGCAGAGTACTTCTTCGGCCCTGGGGCTGCTGCGGGAGCTGACAGTGTTCCTCCAGCAGCCTCGGTGCCGGAGGTGGGATCCAGCAACCACATTCACTGTAGCCCAAGTTTCACTATTGCGAAGGGCGTTCTAGCAAGGGTCTACTGTATTCTAACTGTAAGGGACAACAAATACAAGTCAAAGAATTTACCTTCTCTATGCTGAGCAACTTGAACAGGTGTAGCAGTTTTCTGGGTGGATCCATAACTTAAAGAAATCTGCCACATGGATTCCTGTCCCTCCCTGCATTCTGTATCAAAATGCATATCAGCTTTGAAGTAAGTCTCATTCAGTCCTGTATTTGGGATTATAATGTTGCAGGATATAAGTCTGTCAGTAAATCAAAACAATCTGTGTGCATATTTGAGTTTGCTTATATGTTAAGTTAATTTATCTTCATAGCTACACACTGATGGATTACCACTGTGGGATTCTGAGGACCTTCCTTTTATGAAGAACAGTAAAACTTCCTTTCTTCAAGTAGTAATGACCACAGATCCAAACCATCCTGATTTAATAGAAGGATCACTACTCAAGAGATAAATGAATAACATTTAACTCTCAATTTAAATGAGAAGGACACAGTTTTCATTATATCTCTGACAGTTGTCAGCTAGTTCCCTCTTTAGCAGAAGGGATTTATCCCTCAGCCAATGACTGACAGGTCTCGGTTTTGACTGTACAGCTACAAATAAACAAGGCCCATTGTAAGATCTGTGGACCTTCCTGTTTGAAGAGAGGAAATGCTGTGATAAGCTTTTATACATAATCTTATTGTCTTCCTTGTGTAGAAAGGAACCAAACCAAAATGTGGGGTTATGTGGGATTCCTTCAAGGTCCTTGTCATGGCATTTAATTGGTAAAATTCATTTTGAGGGTGATAAGTTTACTTTAAAATTTTGGTGTTTAGAATGCATGACACCTGGTGACAAAAATGTTAACTTGAGCATTTATGCCTCAACAAAATGTCTTAAGAATGTTGTTCATTGTTGTAGGAGCTCCTGCCGCTACATCAGCCTCTACCACAGGTTTTAGTTTAGGGTTCAACAAACCTGCAGGATCGGCCACACCATTTGCTTTGCCTATTACTTCTACCTCAGCAGGTGGCCTCTCACTTTCTTCTGCTCTTACATCAACTCCTGCAGCAGGTAAGGAAATACTATTTTGCACTCCGCGCTGCATTTTGCATTCAGGCATATCAAAGTACTTTACAAGCACTCTGAAATAGATGAGCATCCTTACTATTCATATTGTCATTGCCTGCCTTTTACATGGGACTAATCTGAAACACAGAATTTAAGTGACTGGGTGAGCTTCACTGGTGTTTGTTAGGAATCCTAGCATAGATGGGTCAGCGGGTACTATCATTGTTTTAAGCCCAATATTGATTAAATGCTCAGAGTTTCTTTTAGGCACCACATCATCTGGTAGTTATAGGTGATGTCTCATCTACACCAGAGTTTCTAATGTTGCCAATACCAGTGGAGCTCAATTGTGTTGGCAATGGTGGGAAATCGTTTTAAAAAGTGATCTCCCAAGTGTAGGAAGGGCATCATAAAATGCTGAAAATGGTTAATGTCTATTGTCAATGAGACAAATGGTTTTGGTACTGTTAAAGCATGATGGAGAATATGTACCTCTGGTAAGATGTCCCATGCTTAACATACTAATATGCAGTTGGCACCTTCTCCATATATGCAGTTTACACAACCATATTTTCCATAATCAAGTGTTCATTGAAAAGCCAGCTACATCAGCTAACCGTATGTGTGTACACCAAAGCTGTTCACCACACTTTCCCACATTCTCGTTTGTCAAGATGCCACAATATTTCACCTCTTATTCTCTGCCTGCTCCAAAAACTCAAATCATCCATTCAAGTAGAAGCTTTAAAGTCACAATTAGCTGTTGTTTTTAGCCTCTACTATGTGAGATACTTTGATGTTCAGCTGGATCTAGTCATCTTCACCTACATGCAGAACTAAGACCAAGATTCCACTTAATTTGCAGCAACCAGTACCTAAATTGTCAGATTCTGCAGCATTCTAGTGGAAATTCTTAAAAATTTTTGGTAGCTTCAGATAAACTTGAATAAAGAACGTTTTGATTAAATTACATTTTTAAATGAATATTACAGTCAGTACAGTTGCCCCCTGTTGGTGATGATTAGGACCCTACCAAATTCACGGTCCATTTCACAGCCAGCGTGTTTTTAAATTCGACAATTTCAGATGTTTACATCTGGAATTTTACAGTGTTGTAACAGTGGGGGTCCCGACCCAAAATGGGATCATGGGGGGGTTGCATAGTTGTTGGGGCGGGGGGGGGGGGGGGGGGGGGGGATGGCGGTCCCAAGATTGCCACCCTCTCTTCTGTGCTGACTAGGCAGCAGCCTCAGAGCTTCCTGCAGTTAGAGGAGGTGGAGGTGGGTAGGATCTCCCCCATACTGCTAGGAATGCCCCAGCCAGGGGCTCCTAGCTGCTAGTTCAGGCCAGTGACCGATTAAGGCAGGGGCCCCCTGGAAAAACGGGTGCCCAGCCCCAGAAGAAGCCCCAGGGTGGTACCTCAAGCATGGGCAGCCTCGAGCCCTGACTGCCCCAAACCATGGCTGGGGGGCCGAAGCCCTGAGTCCAGGCTGCCCTGAGACTGGGCTGGAGCAGCAGGGGTGCTGCATCTGCTGGGGAGGGTAGAAGCCCCAAGCCCTGGCTGGAGTGGGGTGGAGGGTGCGGAAGCCTTGAGCCCGGGCTGCCCTGGCAGGGGCAGGGTGGAAGCCCCAAGCATGGGCTGCCTCAGCTGCAGCCAGCAGGTGCGGAAGCCCCCAGCCGGAGCTGCTGCGGGAGGAAGCTCGGAGCTGTGGCAGGAGCCGCGGGGGTAAGGGGAGGAGGGGCAGAATTCCTGATTCCGGGCTGACCTGGCTGGAGCGACCGGGAGCAGAAGCCCAGAGCCTTGACTGCGGGGCAGCCCCAATTCCTGACTGGACCAGGGGGAGGCACTGAGCCCAAGCTGCTCCGGCTGCAGCTGCCAGGAGCAGAAGCCCCCAGCATGCAGGAGATACTGGGGGAGGAAACCAAGAGCTTGGCGCTTAGAGCTGCAGCAGGAGCTGTGGGGAGGGCAGAGGGGGAGTGGAAGCCCGGAGCCCAGCGCCTGGGCTGCTGCAGCGCAGAAGTGAGGGTGTACCACTCTCATTTCTGTGCTGATTCTGGAGGTAGCTCTGATCTCCCCACCAAGAGCAGCCATGCAGGGGAAGGACAACTCCTGCCCCTCCCAAGCGTGGCCAGACTAGCAGCTGGGAGCTCCAGGCTCCCAGCATCAGGGGAGATCAGATTTCATGGGGAAGGGCTGATTTCACGGTCTGTGACATGTCCGTGAAATTGGTAGGGCCCTAGCGATGATATTAAATTTAGTTTATTGCTGCAGATTTCATTCAGTGTTAACTCTCCTTTATGATGAATGAGGCAGTTCACACCTGTGGGTAATTATTTTAGGCTGTCTGCAGACTGTATAGTCCGTGTATTAAGGATGGTTTCATTCTTTCTTTTAATTTCAGGTTCTACTGGCTTTACATTAAATTTGGGTGGGACAGCTGCCCCAACTACAAGTGCATCCACAGGCCTTTCACTGGGAGGAGCCTTAGCTGGTTTGGGAGGTACACTCTTCCAGAATGCAACCACAGCAGCAACAGGTGAAAATAGTTTTATTCTTTTCCCAATTCTATTTCACAATGCTGAAACACAAGTAACACCATGCGGTTACTGTAAAACTTAAATAATTCCCTCTGAAACTTTTGCATTTTCCCTGAATGTTACTGGTTTTAGCAAGTCATAAAATACCAGACAATACAATTACCGTCTAAATATTCTACTTCTTCCACCTTAAATTAATTTAACTTTAGCAGCTTTCTGCAAGAATGTAAGTATTCTTCCATTACTCCTGGGGGAATTCTGCAACAATGCACGTGTGCAGAATTCATGTTCCCCACAGATTTCTTTGCTTCCCTGCAGAGAAATGACTTTCTGATGGGGAAGCAAAGGGAAGCCACAAGAGAGGTCATGCGCCACTCCCCAGCAGTGCAGGTGTATTGTTTTGGGTGCCCGGAGCAGCCAGCAGAGAGGTAAATCACTGGAGGGCTGGGACTGCTCCAGCCAGTGGCTCCTACCCTGTGCCAGGCTAAGCTGCTCATCCCAGCTGGGCTGGGGAGGACAGAACTTTCTCTTCCTCTGCAAGGAGCAGCCAGAGCTGGGTCAGACCCACGCCCAGAAAACTCACTGACTGCAGGAAGCTCTGCATAATTCCCCCACTTGCTTCCCCCATCGCTCCTCAGCCGTGGGGGGTGGGGAGGGGAGAACAGCTCCCCCATCTGACCAACCCCCGTGCATCCGGACCCACCTCATACCCAGATCACCCCACCAAGCCTCACCACCTGAACCCACACCCCCCCCCCCCCCCCCACCCCCCCCCCCCCTAACCCCAACCCCCCCCCCCTGTTTCCCCCCCCCCGAAACTACACCCTAACAAGCCTCACTCTTTGCATCCAGAGCCCCCCTGCACCCAGACCCCCTTGCCAAGCCCCACTTCCCTGCATCTGGACTCCACCCCTGTACCGAGACCACTCTCCACACTCGAACCCCCACCCCATCTGCACCTGGGTGACCCTGACTAGCTCCCTGCACTCAAATCCCTGCTCCACTGAATCCCACCAAGCCAACACCTGGACCCCCCTGCTGAGCACTTCACACCCAGACCCCCGCCCTGCTGAGCCCCAACCACCTTCACCTGGACTCCCCTGCAGAGTCCCATTGTGTCTGCACCCCAGTTCATCCAGATCCGCCCCTGCACCCAGACCACCCCATCAAGCCACTCACACTCAGATTGCCCCACACAGAACCCTATTACCAAACACCTTGATCTCCTCACACTAAGCCCCTCCATACTTGGATCTGACTGGGATAAGCCTGCCTGCCTACATCTAGTGTGCTTGGCACGGAGGGGCAGGGCCCCAGGGTGTTTCTGGGGCAGGCCTGGTCCTTGCAGTGTGTCAGGGTTGGGTGCAGCTTTACCACCAAGTCCATGTTCCGGGCAGAGGGTGAGTGGGAGGGCAGGATTATCTCCCACCTCTGTGCAGTCAGTGGCTTGTGCTCCCTACTGCCATGGTGGAGCCTCCACATTTATTTATTGACAAAATGTGCAGAGTTTTGCAGGATTTTAAAATATGTGCAGAATTCTTAATTTTTTGGCACAGAATTCCCTCAGGAGTATTCCATGAAGTAGTTACCATAGCTGCCATAGGGGTGTTACGTGATCATAAATGGAAGGGGAGGTGTTCTATAAAATAATCTCTTCATTAATAATGTGGTTTGCACTATGAAATGCTTTGAGAACTCTTAGTATAAAATAGTCACTGGTCCCTTGTTTTAGCAGTGATTTTTGTGAGTGAATTTAGAAAACCTTTGAGCTACAGTAGTGTAACTTTAAATCCCCTTTGTTAGATCGGGACCCCCTCCAGCCCCGATGTCCAGGGACAACAGCTTGGAGAAAAAAGTAGTATATACCCCTCTATCCTCTGCTGTTAAAAGGGAGGGTGCTGTTCCGGGATCCAGTGTGGGGTGGAGTGAGGAGCACTCCAATCTTTCATGTTGGCCTTGGGTGTCTAATAAATATGGTATTTTTCCTCTTTTTATTATATTGCAGTAGTGCCCTGTGACCTTAGTCAGGCTTGGGCCTCCAGTGTGCAGGGGTTGTAAAAATACAGGAATTCATTTTCTCTATTCTGAAATACTTAGTGTAGTTGCTGTATGGAATGGAGAGCTTTAGTTTCTCCCTTTGGCTGATGTGGGAAGGTGAGATCTCTTCATACCCTTTCCTAGCTACTTGGAGAAATGCCTCAAATCGTTACTTTCCCTAAAAACTTCTAGAAAAGGTGATGAGAGATTCCCACTGTCACCCTCCTGTTCACACTCCCCCAAAATAATCGTCAGCTGTAGGAAATGGCTAGCTGCTAAGTGATGTTTATAAGAATGTTGTTCACTGCTTCTCAGAGTGCTGGAGATGGCCTCTGTGAAACTAACAAGATCTTTTTGTAAACTCTGGTCAATTGCTGTCTGTTGGCCACTGGCCATAGGAAAGACTGATGGCTCAAATTTTCAATGCTGGCTGCTTGCTATCTTGCATATAAAATGCAATTAAGTGGATATTGCATACTCCTTTCACTGTGTGGAAGTACTGTTGAAAAATAATGTACTAATCCTGAGTGAAGTAACATGACACAATATGCAGTGATGGTGCAAGTGATGAGGCAGGTAAAGATGTTAAAATTAGATATTTAGAATATTTAGTTCATAGAAGAAATTTTTTCTTCTTCTCTTTACATTATTTTCACTGAACTTCTTGACCCAAATATAGCTAAACAAATCCTGAAAACAAGATGACATACATAAATCTAATCACAATATATTGAAGCTAAAACACTAAATTATGTGTTACTGAAATACTTTTTGGGTTATTTGTAGGACTCGGACAGAATGCTCTGAGTTTGACTCTGGGGACGACTTCTGCTCCTTCAACTACTGTTAATGAAGGTCTTGGTGGCATAGATTTTAGTAGCTCTTCAGATAAAAAGAGTAAGTTGTTGATGCAATATTGTTTTTCTGTAATTTTTATGAAACCTTGGAAAATACTTGCTATAAAAATTCTGTTTGAAAGCACTTAGTTGAAAGATGTAAGTGAGGAGGCATTGATGGCTTGGTTTTTCTAACTCTTAATGGACACCGTAAAAATAAAATATTTTAAAAATGTCTTTAATAATCAAGGGTTGTTTTAAGATTGATAAAGCTAAAAAAGAAAGTACGCAATGTAGTTGTTGCCATTTTGGTCTCAGGACATTCAAGAGACATGGTGAGTGAGGTAGTATGTTTTATTGCACCAACTTCTATTGGTGAGAGAGACAGAGCTCTTCTTGAGGTCTGGGAAAGGTACTCCCAGCATCACAGCAAACTGCATGGTGGAACAGATTGTTTAGTATATGTAGTTAGTACATGTTGTAAGGAACCATTCAAAAGATGAGCTGAAGGGCTTAAATTCATTACTCTGCTAGACATAGGCACTGATTCGGTGGGTGCTTGGGGCTGGAGATCCCACAGAAAAAAATAGTGGGTACTCAGTGCCCACTGTTGGGCCCCGCCAATCAGCTCCTCCCCCCAATGCCTCCTGTCCACCACAATCAGCTGTTCAGAGGTGTGCAGGAGGCGCTGGGGGGGAAGGGGTGGAGCAAGGGCATGCTCAAGGAAGGGGGCAGGAAGGGGTAGGGTGGGGCCTTAGGGGAAGGGGTGGAGTGGGGGTTTGACCTTGGGGCGAAACGGGGGGTCAAGCACCCTCGGGGAAATTAGGAAGCCTGAGGAAGTGTTGCTAGACACTAAAAATCACAGACTGAACAGAAACACTAGATTTATGGCTAATTACTACAATCTGAACCACCTAACCTCCTCTCTTTATTCTATAACTGCAGAGGTGTTAACAGGCCATGCTACCTTGAATAGTCCCTTACAATATGTGCTAACTACTTATGGTAAACAATCCCTTCCACCTTGCATTTTGCTGTGACGCCGGGAGTATCTTTGCCAGACCTGAAGAAGAGCTGTGTGTGTCTCAAAAGCCTCTCTCTCTCTCTCTCACACACCAACAGAAGTTGGTTCAATAAAATGTATTACCTCACCCACCTTGTCTCTCTAAAAGAAAAATAGTAATTTACTCTTTGCACGTCTCTTGCTGTGGCAATTTGACTAAGTTTTCAACTATTTTAACTTGTAGATTCTTCTACATAAATACAGTGCAACAGTATTTTGCTTGCAAACTTGGTGTAATGCAATGCAGTGCCTCTGGGTGGATTGTTGGCAGCAAGGATCAAACTTGGGATCTCTGAGTCTTAAAGTATGAATCTCTACAGGTCTGTTGCCTCAAAGGCTGTGTCAGGCTCGCACATGTACTCTGACCACTTGGGAGTGCGGGGGAAATAGCGCTAGTCTATAAGTGTGTGTTACAAATGCAAAGAACCTGTTTGAAAGCAACTTTCTTTCATTGCAATGAATTTTAAAAGTCATGGAAGCATTTCTAATCATGTGGGGTTTATGTAACTCTCCTTCAAAGTTGATTAAAATAGTCTGTAATCTTCTTATTGTCTTCCTAATACTTTACAGTAATATACTTTTTAAAAATTCCTTAATAAAATATTATATCAAAAGCAATTACAAAAAAGTAAGTTCGTGATTACAATACACTTTTTGCCAATTAGTAAGTAAGGTTTATGGTGTTGATATGAGCATACATTAAGGGGGTTTGGTCTTCCATTTCTCGTGTCAGACACTAGCTAAACTAGTTATTCCCAGAGTTTTAAAGCAAAGATGATGCATTTTCTTCAGTGTTCACATTATAGTTGAGTAATCTCTTGGTTTTTTGGGGGAGACGGTAGTTAAGAGCAGTTGTTCAGGGTAGCTATTCCAAAGGCTGAAATAGTAGAATAGCAGGTTAGAAACCATATAAAATCCACCCTTGTGAGTCTTACTTGAGCCAGCAGAAGTTTTATATTGTTGAAGTATTGCTCTGTGACCCTGGTGGAGGGTATGTATTGCATGTTTTGTGAAAGAAGACTTTGCTAGAAGAGTGTACTGGTACAGTGGGATATGTGGAGGAGGCCTATCACTTAAGAGCCATATAATTACCTATTACCATAATATCTGAGTGCCTCAGAATTATTATTGAGTTTAAAGTGTCTCGCCTATGGTCACACAGGAGGTCTCTGGTGAAGCAAAGCATTGGACCATAGTTTCCAGAGTCTCAGGGTAGTGCCCTCTCTGCCGAACCATCATTCCTGTTCAGGAGATCCTTGTCTGTAAAGTGCCATGCACCACAGTGATGCTGTCTAAATAAGATAGACTGTAAGTGCCAGGGGGGGAAATAGAAACCTGTAATGAAGGAGGAGGGGAAGAGTCAATTAAATTTTCTTCCAACGGGGCTGACCTAATGCCCTGAGCCAACATGCACTGAGGTGAGTGATAGTCATCAGTCCTTCCCCGAAAAACTTCTTAAGGCTTATTTTGCTTGACAGTTGTTCAAGGTATCAATTCTTATATAAAATTATCTGTATCTTCTAGGTGATAAAACAGGAACAAGACCAGAGTAAGTATGTTTAGTATTCCTCTTTACATTCTATAGGTTCTTAGAAAATAGTGAAGCTTTAAAATGTTTCTCCTATTTTGTTTTTTTGGCCTTCAAAAATGCCTATATGCTGTGAAGATGCAATTATCACTGTTAAATACGTTATGGGAGTTGACTGTTCTGATGAAATTTTGTAGGACTCAAATGGGTGGAGAGGGGGTCACTGTCCCATAAACCACAAAATACAGATCCAGTGTTTCTGGTTATTACTAATTAGTTTGTAATAGCACCAAAAGTGTGCTAGATGCTTTCCAGGTGCAGAGGGGGCATAGTCCCTGTCTAGAGGCATATGTAACCTTAAATTTGCTTAGTTTAGCTTCATGTAGAAGGTGGTATTTAATAGCTGGAGTTCAGAACAGAGAGATAGGACTCCTGTGGTCTCTCTGTTCATGACTCTCTTGCAGACTCATTACGTGGTTTTTGGAAAATCTCATCGTACTCATCTGTAAAATTAAACTCTTGCAAAACACTGAAGTTGGTCCAATCAGATATTACCTCACCCATCTTATCTCAGTGAAGAATTAAGTAAGTTGGTGCAGTTCTTCACAATTGGTTTTATAAAAGGAAATTCAAATCATTGTTACTTACTATAGAATTCATAAATTAGATACAAACTTGTAAAGCAGAATGAATATTTACAGCTCTTTGGCTGTTTAGTAATGGGGTAAAGTTGTTTAGAAGTAGTGTGTGTCTATGAATGCATATGTTATCTTTTGGCAGAGATAGTAAAGCACTGAAGGATGAAAATCTACCTCTACTAATCTGTCAAGATGTAGAAAATCTCCAGTAAGTATTTTCCTTATACTAGTTGGGATAACCAAATAATTATGTTGTCATGCTTTAAAGTAACAAGTGGTTTAATCACACTTTTAAAAATTGTTTTAGATAGTGAGGATACACTGCTTATCTTTTGAAGGTACAAGATAACCCCTCTAAATATCTTCTGTTGAAGTTCCAGTTTTAGAATGTTGCGGGGGATGGTGAAATTATAGTATACTGTAGTTCTATAAAAGAGGCAAAAGCTGAAATTATCACTCAGTATTGGTGGTTTGGTATTTCATCAAGATTAATTTTATTTTTATTAAAACAATACTTGAGGTAGAACATTTGTGTGCTTTAAATGTAACAAATTAAACTTCTACTTCCAACTTTTTTCAGGAAATTTGTGAAAGAACAAAAACAAGTGCAGGAAGAAATTAGTAGAATGTCTTCCAAAGCAATGCTTAAAGTACAGGAGGATATTAAAGCTTTGAAACAGCTTTTGTCAGTGGCTGCTAGTGGACTACAGAGAAACACTCTTAATATTGACAAATTGAAAATGGAAACTGCCCAGGTATGTTAACAAACAAGTATTGTTTTATTAGCTCAAATCAGTAAGCATATGATGTCACATAAGGTGAGAGGCATTCAATGCTGTCAATCACTCTAATATTAGAAGCTCAAATTATTTGTATATTGACCAGAAAATAGAATCATAGACTTTCAGGTCAGAAGGGACCATTATGATCGTCTAGTCTGACCTCCTGCACAACGCAGGCCACAGAATCTCACCCACCCACTCCTGTATCAAGCCCCTAACCTATGTCTGAGCTATCGAAGTCCTCAAATTGTGGTTTATAGACTTCAAGGTGCAGCTGATTGGCGTGGCAAGCCTGGGGGGGAGGGGAGAAGAAGCTGGGGCGGGGAGCGGTAAAAGCGGTTCCTCTCCGTACCCCGATGTAACGCGGTCTGACCTATAACACAGTGAGATTTTTTTGGCTCCCGAGGACCACATTATATCGGGGTAGAGGTGTACCCTGAGATTCCCAAGAGAACACCACTTAAAATAGAAATCCTATAATCACTTGTATGGTCAGATGTAGGGATATTAATTACGAAGTCAGTAAAGCAGCAGTAAAAATTGAATTTTCTTTATTAAAAGCATGGCACTTAAGTCTGGATCTAGTTTATTTTGTCACCTTCTTATATTGCTCACTTGGGAAATATTTCTGCAGGGCAGTCTCTCTTAGTATAGAAGCGGATTAGAGATTGTGCTTTGATTATCCTAAGTGGAAGCAAACAAAATAAATTCAATCTGCGTTTTCTTTCATGTTTGACATTTCATAAAATCTAATTATCACTGTAAACATTAGACTTTATTAAATGTGGAATTTTCAAATCAATCTGGAATGACACCGGAATACCTTATCTCCTGTTTATTAGCAGTTGTGAGAGCTAGAAATAACTTCCTTGCTGTCAGGCTAGTTTGTGGTCTGTTCAATCCCAGTTTACTAGTATCTATTCTTTTCGGTCGCTGAAGGTTCTAGGTTGTAAGAAAACAATGAAATAAACAAACGCAAGAGTTTAGATAGTTTTCACTTTGTCTGGCAATTGGACGTTGTTCTATACAACGTACACTTGGTCTGTAGCTAACTTTAAGTGGGATGCTTGTCAGTCTAAGTCTTCACCTGGGGAGGACTGTGACAAGGTAAACGCTGCTAGCACTTTCTTAAATTCAGAGTTAAAGGACCTATAGCACTTTATTTTCGACTACACTCTTCAGGATTTTGCTTTCTTTGCTACTACTAACTGTGGTATGTAATCTATCACTTAAATCAGCCTCTGTATCAGATGACTGTAGGATAGCTAATGTAATGCCAATTTAAAAAAATGTCACCAGAGGAAATGCTGGCTGTTACTGAAATTAGGCTTATTGGCCTGTATCTGGCAAATTGGTTGAAACTATAACAGAATTATCAGTTGCATAGATGAACACAGTATGTTGTGGAGGAGTCAGTATGCCTTTTGTAAAGGGAAATGATGCCTGGCCAATCTATTAAAGATTTTTAAGGGTGTCAGCAAATATGTCAGCAAATATTTAGGAAGGAACAATCAGTTTCACACATACAGAATGGGAAGAGACTGTCTAGGAAGGAGTATGGCAGAAAGGGATCTAGGGGTTATAGTGGACCACAAGCTAAATATGAGTCAACAGTGTGATGCTGTTGCAAAAAAAGCAAACGTGATTCTGGGATGCATTAACAGGTCTATTGTGAGCAAGACACGAGAAGTCATTCTTCCGCTCTACTCTGCGCTGGTTAGGCCTCAGCTGGAGTATTGTGTCCAGTTCTGGGCACCGCACTTCAAGAAAGATGTGGAGAAATTGGAGAGGGTCCAGAGAAGAGCAACAAGAATGATTAAAGGTCTAGAGAACATGACCTATGAAGGAAGGCTGAAAGAATTGGGTTTGTTTAGTCTTCTCTTTTCCAAACTGAGGGGGGACATGATAGCAGTTTTCAGGTATCTAAAAGGGTGTCATGAGGTGGGAGAAAACTTGTTCATCTTAGCCTCTAAGGATAGAACAAGAAGCAATGGGCTTAAACTGCAGCAAGGGAGGTTTAAGTTGGACATTAGGAAAAAGTTCCTAACTGTCAGGGTGGTTAAACATTGGAATAAACTGCCTAGGGAGGTTGTGGAATCTCCATCTCTGGAGATATTTAAGAGTAGGTTAGATAAATGTCTATCAGGGATGGTCTAGACAGTATTTGGTCCTGCCATGCGGGCAGGGGACTGGACTTGATGACCTCTCGAGGTCCCTTCCAGTCCTAGAATCTATGTGGACAAGGGTGATGCACAGGATATATTTACTAGAACTTTCAGGAAGCTTTTAACAAGGTCCCTAACAAAAGGCTCTTAAGTAAAGTAAGTGGTCATGGGATCAGAGGGAAGATTGTCTCATGGATCAATAAGTGGTTAAAAGGCAGGAAACAAAGAGTAGGAATAAATTATCAGTTTTCAGACTGGAGAGAAGTTAATAGCAGAGTCCTCCCCCCAGGATCCGTACTGAGACAGATGCTGTTCAATATATTCATAAATTATTTGGAAAAAAAAGGGGTAAACAATGAGGCGGCAAAATTTGCAGATGATACAAAATTACTCCAGATAATTAAGTTCAAAGCAGACTGTAAAGACTTGCAAAGGGATTTCACAAAACCGAGTGATGGAGCAACAAAATGGCAGATGAAATTCAGTGTGGATAAATGCAAAGTAATGTACATTGGGAAAAAATCGCAACTGCACATATGAAATGATGGGATCTAAATTGGCTATTACCACTCAAGAAAGATATGTTGGAGTTATCGTGGATAGTTCTCTGAAAACATCTGCTCAATGTGCAGCAGCAGTCAAAAAAGCAAACAATGTTAGGAACCATTAGGAAAGGGACAGATAATAAGACAGAAAATATCATAAATGCCACTATATAAATCCACAAAACACCCATACCAGTTCTGGTTGCCTCATCTCAAAAAAGATAGTTTAGAATTGGAAAAAGTACAGAGAACGGCAACAAAAATGAGTAGGGATATGTAACTGCTTCCATATGAGAGATTAAAAAGACTGGGACTGTTCATCTTGGAAAAGAGATGATCATGGGGGGGATATGATAAAGTCTATAAAATTGTGAAAGGTGTGGAGAAAGTGAATAGCGAAGTGTTAGTTACCCCTTCAGATAACACAAGAAGAACCTGGGGTCACCCAATGAAATTAATAGGCGACAGTTTTAAAACAAAAGGAAAATACTTCTTCACACAATGCACGGTCAACCTGGGAAACTTGTTGCCATAGGACAGTGGTCCCCAACCTTTTTAGTCTGGCGGACGCCAGACGATGAGCTACCGTGGACCGTGGCCGGCGGACGAGCATCCGCCGAAATGCTGCCGAGAAGCAGCAACGTCAATAGGCGTTGCCACCAACAAGCAGCATCATCCAGAGGCGTCACCGCCGAAAATCGGCGGCGACGCCTCTGGATGAGGCTACTTGTCGGCGGCATTTCGGTGGATGCTCGTCCGCCGGCCAGTACATGGGCGCACATAGATGCCCCAGCAGGCGCCATGGCACCTGCGGGCACTGCGTTGGGGACCACTGCCATAGGATGTTTAAAGGCTAAAAGTATAACTGTGTTCAAAAAAGAATTAGGATAAGTTCCTGTAGGATAGGTCCATCAATGACTATTAGCCAAGATGGTCAGGGACTCAACCCCCATACTCTGGGTGTCCTTAAGCCTCTAAGTGCCAGAAGCGCGGACTGGATGGTGGGATGGATCATTCAGTAATTGTCCTGCCTTGTTCATTCCCTCTGGTATTGGCCACTGTTTGAAGACTGGATACTGGGCTAGATGGACCAGTGGTTTGATGCAATATGGCCGTTCTTATGAAACCAGTCTACATGTGATTTGTACTCTAAAGTGAAAATGATGCTAGTCCTATGTCTTGTAATAAAGTACTTTCTTCAACTAATAAAATAATAGTGGTTTCTAGAAGTTCAGTGGTATGTTCCCATAGAAGAATACAGTGAATACAATTTTTTTCTTCTGCTTCCACAGGGATGTGTTTTCAGATGTTGACTAGTCAAAACAGCTAAGAATAAACAAGTACAGAACTAGATAACGAGAAATTCTTATTACTACAGTTATTAGAAGGTACTACAGTCAAATCACAGAAGTGTGTATCCTGTGATTATAATACTCTGGGAAGGCCGTCAGGAAGGCTTTAGTGGAAATGTTAAAAATAAATAAATAAAATTGTAAACTATTGGCTATGCTCTTTTTAAAAATAGACAATCGGGTAATCTGTTCCCTTGTTTCTTCCTTTTAGGTGTGCTATTTCCTCCCATTCCTCTAATCTTCCCTATTGAAGTCTAGAAAAAAATATAAAATTATTTTAGATGAAGTAGAAATTAAAGCTTAGTTGTGATAGTATAGTACAGCGTTTCCTAAACTTTTGAAAACTGAATCCCCTTTCAGGAAAGTGAAACCAATCATTCCCTCTTCTGCATTGCTATGTGTTGTATTAAAGGCCTGCCCATCTTAATATATATGTCTTTGGCAACCCCAGTCCCTGACATTCCAGGTTTTGAAAATATCTCATTTAGCAGATTTATGCATCCATGCCTGAAGGTTTAACATTAATTAAACACTGCATGCCAAAAACACATCCAAGGAAAGAGCCCTCTGTGAAGAAGTAGTAGTGTTAGATTTTTTTTTTTCTTCAGAATTCATCTTTCTTATAGAACTATAGCATGTAGTCCTTTTTTTATTCACTTCATTTGCTTATTTAGGAGCTGAAGAATGCAGAAATAGCATTAAGAACACAGAAAACTCCTCCTGGTCTTCAACATGAAAATTCAGCCCCAGCAGAGTAAGTTACTGTATCTAACAGAAACTTGTATTAACCATCAAAAATGCATTACTATCTGTCTTATAAATAGATTTGTACGTTGCAATGTGTAATCTATTGCTCCTTTGATAGAGGCATCTGATAACAATATTTTAGTATACCTATAAAAACTTAACACATTAAATAATTAAAATCACAAATTGACCCAGCATCAGAGGATTCAAACATGGCATCCTATCCCCTACATTGGCCAGTAGTGGAGAGGAAACCATCTTCATTTAGTACTCGTTGTCTCCCTTTAAAATGTGAACTGTATACACTTCTCTTTTATGGTAAACTGTTTTAACATTTTGTTCTATGCCTTATTGCATGTACTGCATGTTTTACTGAACAAATGAAACCGTAAAAAATCAATCTTAACAGATTCATACATCACCTTCAGGCAGAGAAAACACACTTTCTCTAGCATTGGAAGAAGAGTAATATAAAATATGTTTACTGGAATACTGACCACTGCTTAAAATGATATTGATAAGTCCTGCAATTGGTGTAGATCTAAATAGTAAAAATGAAGTTGCAAAGGAAGGAAATTCAACAAGTGTGATCTGATTATTCTATTCTAGCTACTTCAGGATCTTGGTTGAACAGTTTGAAGTACAGCTGCAGCACTACAGACAGCAAATTGAAGAACTCGAAAATCATCTTGCCACTCAAGCAAACAATTCACATATAACTCCACAAGGTAAAAAGTTCAATTTTAATGTTTTTACAGAAATCCTTAAAAAGTGTGTGTGTGTGTGTGTGTGTGTGTGTGTGTGTGTGTGTGTGTGTGTGTAGGAAATGCATATTAGTTACTTTACTCTTTAACTATCAGGATTCCTTAGTTAACTTTCAGAAATTATTGTTCATATGGATGTTGAAGTCACCCAATACAGTAAGTTTTAGGAACTTAAGCACCAGCTCAGACAACTTTGACAGGAAGCCTGGGGCCTGAATTCCCACTTCAATTCTATCTTGGGACTTGCACCAAGTGGATACACTGAAAGCATTTCAGTTTTGTTCAGGAAGAGACGTGCATCTGAAATGTTATGCAAAAACACAGCTATCCTACTTATTTGACCTTTTTGGCTTACTGAGAAGAGTGCCCCTGTGAACAGAGCTAGATTAACATTGGTCCAGTGGTTGTATCTAGTCATGTCTTGGAACTACTTGCAGAATTGAAGGCCTCCTCTGTGGCTACATCATGGACGGTTAACTTTTTAGTGAACTTTGAATATTCAGAGTCATGAAATTTTGAGTTTTAAATAAGCATTCACAAATACAAGAAAATTTGGCTCATTTTGATGTATCTTTTATTAGTATTGGCAAGACATACTGGTCCAATAGAGTTAAAAATTGGGCAGGTGAAATTCAAGAGGAGAAATAGGCAAAGTTTTGTGAATATCATTCCGAAATATAATTCTGTCCGTTGTTCACTTGTTAATAAGTCCAGACTCCTCTTTAAATAGAAGATATTACTTTACTCCCACACAGCTCCATTTGTTTTACAGGAAATATAGTGCTTTTTTTTTTTTTTTTTTTCTTCATAGGTTTGCAGCAAGTTACATCATAGAGCTGGTTGTTTTACCCTTGTTGCAGTATAAATTAATTAATTTGTCTCAATATTGCAGTAAGACTATGAATTTATTTGCTGATATACATGTTTTACAGATTTGTCTATGGCTATGCAGAAAATTTATCAAACATTTGTAGCTCTAGCTGCACAGCTTCAATCGATACATGAAAATGTAAAGGTAGGTTATACTTAAAGAATAATATTTTCATATATATTTCATAACCAAAAATGCTGCAGGCCATTATTCATGTCAACGTTTCTATAACACTTCTCCTTTCTGTTTTTAAACAGAGTGGATTTAAACTATTCATTTAAGCTTTTTAAAGTGATGCTGCTAAATAAAAAGCTCATTCTCTGATGTGAGAGCTGGAACATACGTTGTTCAAGCAGTGCGATAGGCTGGCTTAAACTATTTATTATAAAAGTGGCAGAAGCTGTGACCACTGTATTTAAGGTTACATAATATTTTCCATTTATTCCACTGTCTTTTCAATTGCTCGTAACATTCTGAAATTTTGGGGGCTGACATTTTCTATACTTGCTGTTTGCCCAATGAGTATTTGTGTTTTTGTTCGTTTTTATTTATTTTTTTGTTTGACAATTCAAGCAAAAATGAGTTATTCATTTGAATATGAGCAGAATCAGGGGAAGATACCACTTTCCAGTTATAAAGTAATTTTGCAAAATAGCCCTTGGGTGTTCTGTTGAAAACAGCATTCTGGGTTCATTGCTGATTGAGATTCAGTGGCTTCTTTAAGGAGGGCTCTAGTACAGCCTCTGCACACACAAAAAAAGTATGCAATATGGCCTATTCTCATTCTTACCCACAAAAAGATTTTTTTAGATCAGTAGAGAAGTCTGTAGTAAGACAATTCTCACATTGTGTAAATTCCTCAAATTTCACATATCCTTGTTGTGATTGGGGCTATGTCTGTACAACTTATGAATTCTCTGTGAAATTTTGAACTCGTGTGCCAGGCTGTAAATTTCATTTTGAGTGTGCAGCCTTTTACCTACTCTGTGATCTGCTTGCCTGCATGTTGGGTTGAGATTCCAGAGGCCGGTGGTAAAAGAATACCAAAATAGTCATTGTGCTGAAGTGCTCTTCATTGAAATGTAATTGCTCAATAGGCTAGCTCCTCATACCCAGGAGAATTCCTTTGTCAAGGGAGATGATGCCATGGCAATGAAATCAGGTGGCAAGGGTTTGTGCTCAAGTGGGGAAGCTGGCAGGGATGTCACATGATAAAGGAGGGGCTAAAAGATTTAAAAGGGCAGAAGCTGGTCTGCTCAGGAGCCATTTTTCTCTAGTCCATGAGGGAGAGACCAGCAGCTTAATTGCTGATCACTAGAGCCCTGCAAATCCGCAGATATCCTCTTTGTATCCACAGATGCAGATACCCACAGACTGTTTTTTTTCAGATCACAGCACGGCTGCAGATACAAATTTTGTATCCACACAGGGCTCTGCAGCACACGCTCACCCGAACAGAGCGGCTGTCACCCAGCCTGCAGGCTGTAGCTCAGATCTCTGAATCACGCAACAGCATGCTGGGCATTCTGGGAGTTGTTGTCCCCAGCTTGCTTGAAGGGAGGAAGTAAACTACAACTCCCTATTGGGAGTGAGCCAAGCACCATTTTGAGGGTGGGGTTGTTCTTTAAATAAGCAGGCAGCAATGGCTGCATGCATTAGAGGGTGCGGCATAGGGGTGTCCGAGTGCTCCACGGGGAGGGCGGCACTGCATAGAAGGACCCAGAATTGTAGCCTCCCTGCCCAGAGCAGGGAAGGAGGTATGGTGGGGCAGAGTGGGTGGCAAGGCAGAAAGTCTGGGAAAAAGTGGGACTGGGGGCAAGAGGCAGTTGGGGGCTTGACACAGCCCTGCATCACTGCTGCGAAGTGACCTGTGGAGCTGTTTAGAGTCCAGCAAATCCGTGGATATCTGACGCAGATACCTGCAGACCATTTTTGCGGATTGCGGATACACCTTTTTGTATCCGTGCAAGGCTCTATTGATTGCTTGAGCAGATGAAATGGGGTAGGGGTGGGAGTGAATCCCAACAGAACTGGGAAATGGGAGATGCTGTATTTCCTTCAGTACAGAAAGAAGGAAAAACATAAGTAAGAGGGAGAAAAACAAAGAAAGCAAAGGGCATCAATAGAGAGTTCTGAAGTTCCGCATGTTTTCCCACTCGATGATACTGAATGCCAAAATAAGATATTTAAGTTTTATTACTACATAAAGATTATATTCTACCTGGGACCAAATCCTGCGCTGATGTAAATCAAGTGCAACTATATGGATTTATACCAGTTGAGGATTTGGCCTTGATCTGTGTGGAAAGTCTTTTAGTTGACATCTGTGGTTAGCTCCAAATTGGTGGTAACGTAGTCATAAACAGGAAATTAATTCAATCCTCTTCAAATCATGAGTTTAACACCCCTAAACTAATATGAAAAATGTTTCTTTAATTATATTAAAATGTATTTAACTGTTAACTTGCCCCATGACTAAACTATTCAGTTCTTACCTCAGATGTACTGAACTAAAATGACTTCCCCTCCTTCTCTTTCAGATGCTCAAAGACCAATACCTTGGCTATAGAAAAACCTTTCTCGGAGATGCTATGGATGTGTTTGAGGCAAGACGAGCAGAAGCTAAGAAATGGCAGAGTGCCCCACGTGTTATTACTGGACCAACCCCTTTCAGCAACATACCAAATGCAGCAGCCGTTGCCATGGCTGCCACACTTTCTCAGCAGCAACAGCCTGCTACAGGTCTGAATGCATTCAAGTTATAGATTACTAGTGTTACAACAATAGTCAATTTGTGTAAATTTTTATATAAGGTCTTCCTTTGTGTTGGCTTAAAAATCAAAAAATTGTAAGTTATCAATACATAGCTAATAAAAAATGCAGGGTAGACTTAGCAATAATTATATACCAGATAGATATTTAATCTTGTGAATTTATTTGTATTAGTGATATTTACTGTATTCCTCTAATTACCCCTTGGAATGTGAGTCTTCATTCTTAAATGACATCTCTGAATATGAGTAATATAGCATCTTTCCAAAATTGTATGATTGTATAGTAAATGATTTTCAAATTGGGGGGGAGGGAGGAATGAATCCAAATGCATATTACATTTTTCTTATGTAAAATGAATGATGCATTTTTATATAGCACTTTGAAATTGTAAATTAAAATATGCTACAAAACAGAGGATATTGGAGCTTAAGTATGTAGAGTAGAAGGAAAGAATGCTTGGCCCATTGTTTCTTGTTTTTCTAATTTCTTCGGAAGGATGGTACTAACAGTTGCTAACAGGCCATTTGCTGTTGTGACTGAACAAGAACAGAAAAAGTGTGTGTGAAACACATCAAGGGTGTGTGTTTTGGCCCAGTGTACACGTGAGGTGAGGTGACTGGACAGGAAAGGAAGCCATTTAGGCTGTCTTCGTTGACATTGTCAAAATGCACTCCTAGTCATATTAACCAAAATTTTCAAAGCTGGGTGCCCGAAGATAGGCATTTTGATAGAAGTGGCCTGATATTTTTTTTCAAAGGGACTGTGCACCTCACATGTCACCTTTGAAAAATCCAACCATGTTAATGGCAGACGCACAATCCTTTGATAAAATCATGCACTTTTGTTAAGGAGCCTGAACATAGATTTAGGTGCCGAACTTCAGACACCCAGTTTGCGAATTTGGGATATACCTCTATTTTACCATTTGATTTCCTCCTGAAATGTTCTTTATCCTAGATGTGCTAATCACCTCAGGATCTTTTCCCCTTCTCTGTGCTCCACCTTTGCTTTCTTTGCCCACAATGCCTTCAGTGCTGCATCTGGCCAACCAAAGGAATATATGGCTTTGCCCAGAGTCATTCAAAAATCATCTGTAGGGATTGTTCTCAAGTAATGAGGCACTCCCTCCCTTATCTATGTAGGTAGAAAGCTCTATATACTTCCAGCCCTGGCCCCTGTGAAGAGTGAGGAACCAGTTCCAATTACATGTAAACCAGAATACATGGATCACAACAAAAGGGAAATATAGATTATATCTAAATCTCGACTGTAATCCACTAAGAGTGTTTCTACTGGTGGCTATAACTAAAAATTGTGGAATTATTCTCTAGATGCATTGACATATACAATAAACTTTTTTTAAGGATGTAACAATCTGAAATGACTTCCAATTCTCTCATGTTTTTTTTATATAGAGGGATGTGTGGATTGTGCAGCCCTAATAGTTACCAAAAACTGCACCTCTCCACTCACCTTTTTCTTGTCTTTTAAGATCCTTTCATTAGTCATTATAGGATTGATTGTCACACTACTTAAGATGTCCTAATCATGTGTCCTCATTACCACTGGTGAGGGGTTTGAAGTTATTTTTTTGGCTCCAGAGACAAAAGAACTACCAGTTGAGCTATCACATCAATAAAGTAATGTCATTGTTAGAACTTTTTCAGTATGAATGTCCTTTCAGCCAGATGGGTGAGAGAATTGAAAAGTTGAGCTATGCCAACCTCCATAGGATAAGGCAGTTTATATCTTGAGATACCTTCAATAACTTTTTTGCGGTTAGTAATAAAGTCTCTGCTCATATTTTGTTGGGTATCTCAGAAGTGCCAACAAGTATGCCAACTATAGATGTGATCATGGTCTCTGATGCAGAGGGACTTAGGCAATCAACCTTTATCACGTATGCCACCAAAAAAGAATAGGTGGCAGTGACTTTAGGTTACCACTAATGGGGTCAGACTATTACCAAATGCACTCATTGTCTCCCCGTAAAACACACTATAGAGGACTTGGCTGTAAGCAACTGAGGCGAATAGATGTTTGGACCACTGTCTGTTTAGCAGAGGAAAAGATGCCATTTGGCCTTCTACTGCAATAAGGTTCCAATCTTGCAAAGACTTAAAGCATTCACTTAACTTTACACACTGTGAGTTATCTCATTGCCTTCAGTGACTACTCACCGTGCATAAAGTTAATCAGTTGCTTAAATATTTGCAAGATCAGGGCCCAAAAGAGTAGAAATATAAGGGATGAGAGGAGGGCAGGACAAGTGTTTGACTGTATGTGTGTGAGAGAGAGATACCTAATCTACTGTTCTTCCCCATGATCTCTTCACAAAGACTTTTCTAAAACAAGAAAATTAATCTGGGCTTTTAAAGTTTGGCTAAAAAAAAAAAGTAACACACAGTACTCTAAATGTCAAGAGTAAGGACTTTTGTTCTTGTGTCTAAAAATATATTGATGTTTACATGGTATAAGGCTATTCCTTAAAGTTAATTTAGATTTAGCAAGCTACTCATCTTTCTCTGAAGGAAGGCAGAGACCGTAATTTATTTTTAGTTCACATTCAGAAGTCAAGGGTTTAGCGTTAATAAAACTACGCTTTAGCCATGTCTGCACTAAACTTTTCTCTTAATTTCACACTGTTACTCTTAGTGCAGCGTTACTGTTGGTGGAATGCTGGTTGTGCTAGTTAGATCAGCAGCAAGCGCTTTTACTACCCTCTCATTTAGACCTGCAATGAGCAGTCTTTAACAACATGGTAGTTAAAATGCCAGGGGGGCAGTCTACTCTTAGTGCTACTGGTGGCAGTAGAAATTGTGAGAAACACTAAGGGAAAATAAAAAGCCAAGTGTCATTACAGCCTTACATGCAATAGGATGGAACCAATCTAACGTTCTGCTGGTAAGGCTAAGTTCGCTTAACCAAAGGAATACTTTCCTTCATTTCCCCCAAAACATTTAATTATTCTTGATTTAGCTGGGGGGGAAACTAAAGTCAAAGCATGATTAAGATATTAGCTATGTTTTGACTTCTCAACATGAAATTTAAGTGAGAATGGGATACTTTAATAAAATCTTTACAGCACTTAGAACTTTATTGTATAATTTGACCTTGACATAGGTAAAATTTCAGTGTATTACTCTCAGAATGAAATTTGAATTGTGACACTAAATTTGGTCTTGTGTTTGAACCAATGATGTGATGAACTCTGTAAAATGTCACATAAATTTAAACTATGGTATCACTTTGGTAGGGAATCTTGTTGACCTATTGTCTAATTGGGTTCTTAGTAGTGAGTCTTTATTTATTAAACTAAAAATGCTCTACAGGGCAAAAAATAGCAGGTTTTAAAATATTGTTAAAATTATTGTTTTAAGGATTTGTCTCATAACTTATAATAGCCAAAGGTGACAATGTTTGCTGGTACTTTTGGCATGGAGGATCTTTATCACTAGTCTTTTGCTATTGAAAATTATGTATGTTTACCTAAGAGGTTTATAAATTATGACAATGCCTTCAGAATTTTATGGTACAGAATGAACAAATATATCACAGGCCTGTTCAATGAAAAGCTTGTCAGCTTTTGGAATGAAATCCTGTTTTATATAACTTGAATATAGGTGTTTTAGAGTAATACTGTTTTACTGATCTAAAAAGCATGTTACATTTAAAAACAAGCATGTCTTGGAGGACTCTGGTGTCTTCATTCTATTCTAAGGTCTTCCACCAACAGTGCCTCCTATTAAGGTAGAAAATTGATGCACTCTCTTTAAATGAGAAGGAACTGGACACATTTTTCTGTTTTAGTTTTAGAGGTCTAACTGACATGGGTTTTTTTTGTTTTGTTTTTGTTTTTAATTTCCTTTGTACTGACAACATTTCTAAAGGAGCTGCTAGGTAGATATTTCAATATTTAAAATAAACTGGATTTAAACAAATTAGTTTGAGATTAATCCATCACTTTTATTGTAGAAAAATACTTTAAGGGCCTTAGCTGGTATGAAATACAGTGCATACTTCTTACTTGGAACAATGATAGAACTTGACTTCCCAAATAGCTACTTAATCGCAGACTGCAAATTCACAGCTTTAGTTGCCCTTATAAATTTTAGTTTAACACTACTTTGAGTAGGCAGACCTCATTCTGCATTGGATCATTTAAGGGCTTTGTTGTGTTTCTTGCGAAAGTGTTACCACTTAATAAATACAGTGCCTTCTACTTAATTCAAACACTGGTTGATCCTCCATTTGACTTTCTCAATCTCAAGAACCAAATACTTTGTATTCAAAATACTACCACTAGCTTTTTTTTATTTTAAATCGCTTTAGATGAAAATTGCTGGTTACAGATACTTTAACAAGTAAGGCAAAAATTCTGAATAAGAACCAAAAGATAACAAAAAAATAAAAGGACTACAAGATCTTACTTGTTCCAACATTGTTGGCAAAGACATTACCATGTACATTGCATTCTGTGCTATGTATGCTTGTGACCATATGGCTTACAGTATTGCCTTTTTAAATTATAAGAATGTACTTAACTTGGGTTAAGAGGTAGGCACTGTATTTTATCTTGACAACCCCTTCAACTTTCTAACTAATGCACTGATGACTGTGTTTGGAAAAAGACAGGAATATAAAGATTGTACTGTGAAAACTGTTGAATCATTTTCATAAATTATTTATCAGCGTTAATGACTTTTAGATTTTTGTAATGTGTTAATAACAGGAGGGACTAGCAAGGTGATTCTATTCTCCACAAGAAAAACAAACTAAGGCTATAAATTTAAGCTTGGCAGACTGAAAATGGGTTTTTGACAATCCTGCATTTTAGTGTGAACGTGCAGGGTAATTGCTGTCTCTAAAAATTTTTAAATGATGGGACAAACTTCTGAATTTTAAATTTTGAATGTATCTAATTAGTTAAGGTACACAAAATTGTGCCTTTGTAAATGCTTATTTAAACAGGTGGTTGGAATGGTGTAATGTAGCAAAGCTTAACAGAACTCAGTTATTATTTTGTGTGGAAAAAGTTTGAATTGTCATGTTGTGTAATTGACTTGCTTTAAAATGAACAATAAATTTAATAAAATAAAGTCATTGTCTTGTTTTTTATCTACTTAATGTTTGTTTAAATTTGGAAAAATACTCAAATGAGTAGCTTTGAAGGTTTCTAGTTATTAAATATATTGGCTATTGGTAACACGATGGTTTTTAGTCATGTTAGTGTCAGTTTCTCTTCTTTTAATTGAAACTTGATACTAACTATTAAAGTTAGATTTTTAAAAAGATTCTCCTTCTGCTTTCAACAGACTGTGTCAAAATAGTGTCACATTTAAGTGTAGTTCTTAAAAGATTTTAATAAATTATTAAAATAGGTTTATAAGGTTAGACTGAATTTGTAACAAAAATACTTCACTATATATTGTAACTAGCTAGTTTTAAGTAGCTTCACCTTACACTGTGTTCAGTATTTTCTTAGATTTACCAGGTGGACATAGAGGCAGTTTGGGGAAGAATTTTGAAGAGGTAAAGTTTTGGGGACTTTAATGGAATTTGTTAAAAGCAATAATGTTCACTTTTATCAAATAATTACATAAAGGATCTCTTTATCATGAAAGAGTAAGGCAAGTTTGTTTTCATTTTTTTTTTATACCAGGGCCACAGCCATCTCTGGGAGTTAGTTTTGGAACGCCATTCGGCTCAGGTATTGGCACTGGCTTGCAATCAAGTGGCTTAGGTTCTTCAAACCTTGGAGGTACACTTTAACTTTTCTAATATTTCATTGAATTATTATACAATACATCTGAATTTATTACAAACTTTAAACTTCACTAAGAGGATGATCTGTTTCAGAAGTAAATCTTCAGTTTGGCAAAAGTAAGACACATGGAGGGAAAAAGTCATCTGCATTGTAGAGCGAGAGTAAGATAAACCACAAAGGTTAAATCTAGTGTTGACATTTTTAGTGAACCCAAAGATGCAAGAGAGATGGGCATAAGATAAGCATGTTGGGGTTGCATTTTTGAAACCAGGAAAGTACCAATTATTTTGTAACTAGGACTTGAATTTATTTATAGTTTACTAAAGGCTTTAAAAGTAGGTACCCACAGTTTTAAAGACAATCACATTTTATTTGGATTTGAAATAGCAGCCAGAAGAATGTATGTTAACCTAATTAAGAAATTTCTCCTGTGTACAATTGAGTTCTAACTCTTAAAACACATTTCAGCTTGTTTATCAGTTCAAGGATTTAATAAGAAACTGTACTGGAAAACTATCTAATTTGCACTTGTTCAGGGAACCTGTTTGTCAAAGCATAATTATGTTCTGCTACATAGCTATCTAGTACAGAATCCAGCTCTGTAAAATGTTTGCCTCTTAATGCTGAGATCCAAAATCCTTTTTGTCAAGCTATTCAACCTCACAACTTCTGAAAGTGAGGAAAATTCTCTTTTGTTTAAATCCAAATATTTTTTGACTGACTGGAGGGAGTAGGTAGGAGACCCTCCAGGAGAGGAGCTGTGCCTTAAAGAGCAAGTAGTGATGTAAAAAAGATAGTTTAAAATTAATGAATATTGCTTTCTCACTTGAAACATAGGATTATTATCAACAGGTGAACTGTGAACTGAACAGTGACTATCAACATGTAAATTTCACAGAACTATATAGATATTAAAATTCACTTGCTGTTAATGTTGTATGGTGCGGTGTATTTACAGTAGTTTGAGATCTTTAAAATGATGAGTCATTTAATATGAACTACTTTACTTATCTTTGGAATTAGTTACATTCTTTATAAATTCCAGAATGGTCCTCATCAGCCAAATTGTAAATTTGACTATCTATGGAAGTAGATTTTGTGTGTACCGATAACAGGAAAAATTACTAATCTTCATAGGTGGACTAAAAGTATGTATTTACATTACTTGTTTTGAGTAGCCCCATAGCATGTTAGGTGCTGTACAAACACAAAGGGAAGGCCTGGTCCCTCCCTCAAACACGTTGTAAACTACAGTTTGTTCAGATACACTCTTAGAAATTTTGCTGATGCAAGTTACACAAACTTGTCCTAGCAAGTAAATAGGAGCTAACTACTGGCTAGATCTTGAAGCCTTAATTTTTAAACTTTCTTTAGTAGCTCTTTGCTTAAGAAGGCAATTTTTTGATAACTTTTTGCCATAATTGTATATTATCTTGTAAAATCCTTAACTCCTTTTGTTTGGGTTTGTAATTTATTCTGCAACATACGGACTTACGACACATGAAGAATAATTTAACAAAGAGAACTTAGTACAGCAGGGGGAAGAAAGAAAAAACATCCAGAAATGGGGCTCTTGGAAATAGATGGACAAAGTGAATACTTCAAGGATTCAGAAAATTAAATACTTAAATCAAGTAGTGTAATCATAATGGATTATTAGACACACATTCTCCAAATTACATTCTTCGCTTGCAAAATTTCTTACTGGTCATATTCACAAGTTACAGTCTTAACAATTGCACGTATAGTTAGTATTCCTGGAGTGTAGATGCCTGCTCCTTCATTAATTAAAACAACATTCCTATACTAATGGTACTAACATGTATCTGATAATCCATTTATAATTGGATTGGGCAAAAAATGGGAAATGTTGCTCCACTGAGCAACCTTACACTGATACAATTTGTTCACCTGTAAAATAGAGAGATTTCTCTGGTACAAAGGCAAAGTCCTCTTGTCTATAGAATCAATATTTTGGAACCTTACATGTCCTGAATTACTACAATTATAAACCTTAAAATTCATATTTGTAAATTAAGACTAGTAGATTTTACAGTTCTGCTAAAAATGTGAATATCTTTCATACCCTTATTTTCAAGCTTTAGTTAAAAAGCTATCATTTAACAAGTTTGAATGCTGTTCTCTTTTAAAAAGAATCAGTTAAAGCTACTGAATGGATTTTTAATCTTTCCTATCCCATAGCCTCTTCCTCAAACATCAAATGTGTGCTTACTTTTCCTTGTATATGTTAATAGTGACCAGTATTTCAAAAATCTTACATTCTAAGCAAATTTTGAATGGTCTAGTCTCAAAATATAAACATCTCAGAACTACTAAATCAAATTGTTCCTTGAGATTACATAACTATAGAGTAAAAGATGGCTGCCCTTTTTCTGCAAGGATGTAGTTGAGTAGTTCTGATGAAATCCTATTTCATACGAACTTAGTAGTTATAAGGTTATCAGAGCCAGGTGACCAAACTAATTTCATGTATTTCTATTCCTATTACAGTGATCTCTACCTCTGAGTGCCAGATACTTTATTATCTTAATTATTAGAGCTTTTTACCTCATACTTTTCATCTCAGCTAAAGTCTTGTCTACACAAGGAAGTTGCAATTAAAGTGTGGCTTATTTTGATTTATCTTAAACTGATCCCTAATTGATTTAAGCTGAATTGAAATAAGCAGGGTTTAAACCAAATTAAAGGTGTCCATGCAGCCTTTGGCACCCATTTAACTAAATTTGGTTTTAAATAACACCTTTAGTTAAAACGGGGCAATTTTTTATCATGTAGACAAGTCCTGAGGTTACTGGAGCTAGAATTCCTAGCCTATTCATGTAATTTAAGTCTGAATTTGCTTAGGTTTTTAACCTATTGGTGGTGGAGTGAAATGATGTCATTGAACTCATCCTCTTTGTATTTTAATAGCTATAGAATAATGTGACTATGACCACAGACATTTCCATTTAACTGCAGTCATTGTTTATAGCTTAATACTTACCATTCAGTATCTGATTTTTAAATAAAACTACTAATAGTTTTCTATGATTCTCAGACGCTTTTCTGTTTGAGCATTGCTGGGGGCAGGGTAGAGGGGTTGTTTTTTGCAGAATTCAGTTAGTGCTGCATTTAGAGCAGGACACTTTGAGTAGTGAAATAGATTTACTAAAAATAATTCTTAGGATTAAATATGCTTTTAAATTATTGTCTAAAAACTATAAATTTTAAATTGCAGTGTTCTATGTTACCTGCTTTTTATGTTGTTGCATGTCTTTACTACTCTTCCACTAGGATTTGGAAGTAGCTCTGCTTTTGGAAGCACTGCCACAGGCGCACCATCATTCGGATTTGGAACTACAAATAAACCCTCGGGAAGTCTTAGTGCAGGTTTGCTTTTATCTGAATTCAAATTTGTCTTAAAAGTACAAATGCATAATCCAACTGCAGGTTTCACTTTAAAAAAACTAATTGAAAACAATATCATGTACATGCTTAAAGTTGCCTTTACAATAAAACCGTTGAAAAATGTTATTTTAACTAAAGAAATATTTGCTTTAAACTAAATTGATTATTTTAGAGAGGAAAAAAATCAACCCCTAAAATGCCCCTTTTTGGATGCTGTCTCCCTAAAAGGGAACTACTGATTTCAATAAATGATAGCTCCTGTTTTACTAATAATTTACAGTTTAAAAAAAAATAATTACATCAGATGTAGTTTGAGGCACAGGAGTCACCGCTCGCTATTTGAATACAAGGGAAAGGTAGACTTTTTAAGGTTATTTTAAGTTTTGTTGTTTTCTAAAATGTGTTCTGCTTAATTCACCAATAGTTAGATGCTCTTATTTTTTTTAGTCAGAATTTACCTTACAATAACTAAACTTTAAGGATACCTTTGTAAAACTAAATGCTTACATTTTATATGCAGAAAGGCAAATTATGTATGCAATTGTCAGTTTGTACGTTCATAATTCCTATATATAAATTAAGGATTTTATTTTGAAAATTTATTTTGTCTCATTCTGAGGCCTCTCATATAGTTCAACATCTGAATACACTTTTTTTCATACCGCTGTCAGTTTGGCAACTTCCTACTTATTACTCATTTGATTCTTAATCTTTTGTTAGTGATAAAATAGATGTTGAATATTGGACCCATTGCTCCCAAACTTTGGGTATTTGAAATCTAACTCTTTCGTTTGGCACCCATGTCTAATTTTGTAATTAGCTTTAGTTATTAGAACATATGTTTATCATCACTTTTGCTTTCTAGAAAATTAGAGTAGATGTCTGCCTTCCAGGATTGGTTTATCATAGTATTTTTTTGTTTTTACTTTTGTTTTTCTAATTACAACTGTTTCTAAAAAACAAGGGTTTTCAGTAACACTGAAATAATATTGCTGATTTTTCCTGTGGACTCCTCTGGCTCATATTAATTTATGTATTACATCAAATAAGGACTGCATTAATTTTTACCTCTATTGTGTAGCATCCATGCTTTTTCTTTCTTAGTTTAGGATGATTCTTCTTTCAAATGAGGCTTAAAGAATGCTTTAGTTTAAAACAGCACATTACAAAATGGAAATAAATGTTTGCTTGATTTGGGTGGCTAATGCTCATGAATGCATAACATCCTGGTAAAGTGCATGTCGTTTCTGTTGGTAGAATCTGCATATTGCAAAACTGGAACGCTAGCATTCTTCGTATTTAGTAACAAATGCATATTTTTATATAATGCTCAAATCTTTTTACTTTTTATAATTAAATTTTCTTACAGGTTCCTGCTGCTTGAACTACATTAAGCCAAAAATAAGTTATTTACTAATTTTTCATATATTAATGATAAAAATGTCAAGTTCTTTGAATGATTGCACATGTGCATTCCACCCTAGGAATGTACGTGCCCCAAGCACTGTTGCTGGAAATTTTTTTCTCAGTGGTACCCATTGTGGTGGCTCAAACATCCTCTGGTTCTGTACACCTATAGCACTAGTATAAAGTGCCCAGCCAGCCCCATGCCCTCTCAGTTCCTTCTTACCACCTGTGATGGTCGCTGGGACTGCTATCCTTGCTTTGGCAAGTTCTCTGTGGTCTTCTTTTTCTTATATTTATACATAGTTCATAGAATCATAGACTTGTAGGACTGGAAGGGACCTGCAGATGTCTTCTAGTCCAGTCCCCTGCACTCAAGGCAGGACTAAGTATTATCTAGAACATCCCTGACATCCATTATCTCCTTCCTAGATCCCAGGGACTGGTATGCTGCCCTCAATTTAAGAGATGCCTTTTTACATATATCAATATACCAATATGTCATAAGGTTCCTCAGATTTGTAATGAACCCTCCCATTCGGCCTGTCTGCAGCTACACGGATGTTTACAAAATGTCTGGCGGTAGTGACAGCCTTCCTGAGGAGGTTAGGGGTGCAGGTCTAACCTTATCTAGACCACTGGCTAGTCAAGGGCTGGTCCAGGGCTCCGGAAGTGTCCAGCATTCAGCTTATGCAGTTGACGTTCAAAGCCCGAGACCTTCTGATAAATGTAGAGAAATCTACCCTCGCACCGGCGCAGAGGATAGAGTTTATTGGAGTGGTGTTCGACTCTACTCAGGCCAGATCCTACCTCCCAGAGGGTCGTTTCCAGACAATCACATCCCTGATGATTCACCTCAAGGGTCGTCTAGTCACAACAGCCACAAATTGTCTGAGACTTTTAGGTCACATGGCCTTGTGCACATATGTGGTACAACAGGCAAGACTGCGCGTCACACCCCTCCAGACATGGCTGGCCTCAGTGTACTCACCAAACCGCTACCATCTGGACTTCGCACTCATAGTACCTTCGTGGGTCCTCATCTCCCTCAGTTGGTGGTTGGATCTGCTCACTGTTTGTTTGTGCGGGCGTTCCCTTTTTACGGCCTTTGGTCTCTGGAGGAACTTTCACTCCACATCAGTGTCCGGGAACTCAGAGCAGTTCACCTGGCCTGTCAGGCCTTCCTGCCACACATTATGGGCAGAAACTTGTTTGTTCTTATGGACAGCACTGCAGCCATGTTTTATCTCAACAGGCAAGGAGGAGCTTGCTCTTCCCTCCTATGTCAGGAAGCGATTCAGTTATGGGAATTTTGCATGGCCCACGCAATCAGTCTTGTGGCCTCGTACCTTCTGGGAACGCAAAAAGACCTGACATATCGCCTCAGCAGGACTTTCTCCTCACCATGACTGGTCCTTTTGCCCAGATGTGGCGAGGGACGTTTTCCAGACTCCCCAGATCTATTTGCAACCTGGTACAACAGAAAGTGTCACCAGTTCTGCTCCCAGCGAGGTCACAGTCCAAGTTTTATAATGGACGCCTTTTTGATATCATAGACAGGACATCTTTATTATGCTTTTAACCCTATCCCGCTTGTGCAGAGTACTGCTAAAGATCACCCAGGACCAGGTCCGAGTTCTTCTGATAGCCCCAGCATGGCCCCATCAACACTGATTCTCCACTCTGCTAGGCCTCTCAGTGATGACCCCATCCCACTTCCATTACACCTGAACCTGATCTCTAAGGATAATGATCGGCTGCTCCATCTGAACCTGAGCTCCCTTCACCTAACAGCCTGAAAGCTCCATGGCTAAATCCCAGAGAGCAGGCTTGCTCAGAGCAAGTTCATCAGGTCCTATTAGGTAGTAGAAAGAGCTCCACCAGGGATACTTACTTTTCAAAGTGGAAGCGGTTCTCTGTCTGGGCATCCCAATGCAGGGCTTCACCCACACAGTCATCCTTACAAGAAATTCTTGAGTATCTCTTATACCTGAAGCAGCAAGGCTTAGCTATTTCCTCTGTCAAGATTCACCTTGCAGCAAAACCAGCTTTCCACTATTGGGTGGATAACCGGTCCATTTTTTCAAATGACATGTCTGTTTGATTCCTCAAGGGCCTACAAAGGTTATACCCTCAAGTAAGAGAGCCCGTTCTTCCCTGGGACCTGAACTTGATCTATCAAAGCTTATGGGACCACAGTTTGAATCTTGGGCAACTTGCTGTTTGCTATACCTCTCCTGGAAAGTGGTTTTCTTAGGCTAGGTCCACACTGGGGCGGGGGATTGATCTAGGAAACGCAACTTCAGCTATGAGAATAGCGTAGCTGAAGTCAACGTTTCCTAGATCTAATTAAGTTTACTTACTGCGGGTCCACGCAGCGCAGGCAAGCTCCCCCGTCGACAGCGCTTCCTCCTCTGGGTGAGCAGGAGTTCCGCAGTCGACGGGGGAGCACTTCTGGGATCGATTTATCGCGTCCAGATGAGACGCGATAAATCGATCCCAGAAGATCGATCTCTACCCGCCGAATCAGGCGGGTAGTGTAGACCAAGCCTGAGTGGCCATCACTTCGGCCAGAAGGATCTCGGATCTCCATGCCCTCACATCAGAACCTCTGTACACAGTCTTCTTTAAAGATAAGGTGCATTTACGTCCTCACCCATTTCCTCCCAAAAGTGGTTTAGCAATTTCATAGCAATCAGGCAATCTACCTACCTACCTGTCTTCTACCCGAAGCTGCATGTAAATAGGGAGGAACCACATCTTCACTCATTGGATGTTAGATGCACTATGTGGCTTTCTACATAGAAAGGACTAAACTGTTCCAATAATTTACCCAACTGTTTGTATCTAATATGATGAAGAGTCTCCCAGTCTCTTCACAGACAGCTTCGTCCTGGATCACCTCATACATTCATACTTGTTATGACCAGGCAGGTGTTCTGCTACCAGCTAACCTGACTGTTCATTCCACAAGGTTGCAAGCATCAGCAACAGCATTCCAGTCACAGATCCCTACTCAGGATATTTGTAAAGCAGCAACCTGGTCATCGGTGCACACATTCTCCTCCCATTATACCATCACTCAACAGTCCAGGGATGATGCCAAATTTGGTTGAGCTGTCCTGCGGTCAGTATGTCCATGAATTCTGATCCCTCCACTATTCAACTGCTTTGGAGCCACCTAGAGTGGAATGCACATGTGCAATCACTCAAAGAAGGAAAAACAGTTACTAACCTTCTGTTGCTCATCAACATGCATGGCACATGTCCATTCCACGACCCACCCTCCTGCCGTTCTGCATCAGACTTTTCCAGAAAGAACGAACTGAGAGGGTGCAGAGTTGGCTGGGCACTTTATAACGGTGCTATAGGTGCATGGCACCAGAGGGCATTCGAGCTGCCCCGGTGGGTACCACTGAGGGAAAAATCTTGCAGTGAGTGTGCTCAGGGCATGCACACACATGGAATGGACATGTGCAACACATCTCACAAAAACAACAGTTACAGAAGGTTAGTAACCTTTTTTTTCCATTGAATTACTACGAAGTGCAAAACTTGCTTAATCTTCATAAGCAACT